CCAGGAGGAACTCCGTGGAGGTCATTACATGGTACATTGCTAGCAATAGGGTCATCAATCAACATTATTAAACAATCTCCAGTCACCCCAATTATATAGATTTAATATACTCAGTATTGACCGTGACTTTGATCCAATTAGAGGTCGAACTCTCGTTATCTGTGACCTACGCTTAATAATTTTAACGCTTAGGGGACTCGATAACATATACATACATACGATCACAACATTGTCTGATATCGAGTTATACAAACAACATTAAACAAAAACAATATTTTCAATTTTACAGGTTTTTAAAGGTGTGTTCTTGATATTTTGTTATTTTATTACTCAACTAGCTGTTCTCGCGAATTCGTCCGCGTGGAATTTAACTTTATTTTTCTAAAATAAAAGTAGACTAAAGAACTAATACTTATTTTGTTCGTCTTAATTTATTCGTTCCATTAGGTACTGATAGGTTCAAACTAATACATTTACAACCCGTATCATCCCTTATTTATCCCCATGGGGGTTGAATTTATCAAAATCCTATTTAAGCCAACGTCTTCATCATAGTAGATCCAATCTTTAATTTCATTTCAAACTGTCGAAAATCAAGTCAGTTATTTATTTTATTTTATTTATTAACACTTTATTGCACCAGAAAGACAAACAATTAAACAAAGAACAAACAAGTAATAAGTAATAAGGTACAAAAGGCGATCTTATCGCTTAAGCAATCTCGTCCAGACAACTTTTGGGTAGAGGAGAGAAGACAGAAAGTGGTAGATGGCGCAAGAATGGACTAGAGAAATAAAAAAGGCATATTAATACTAAATAATAATGATTTACATATACTACTTACATATATATATATAATACAATTTATATACATATATACACACAAATATTATATACAAATACAAAATACACAGGAGTGTTAAGTAAGTAATAATGTAACACGCAATTTTGAATAAGCTAACTGGATGAAGAATGACAGAACAAGAGAAGTTTAGTTGGAGAGATAGTAACATTTAACAGAGTTCTTGATAACGGACAGTGATGGTGCGCTACGAATAGAGAATGGAAGTGAGTTCCACATACGAATAGCTAGTACGGAAAAGGATTTAGTATAGAATGAGGAAGTATGGATATGGGTTTTTAAACTGAGGTTAGTAGCACTGCGTAGCTCATGACTTTGTGCCTCACCGAGAAATAGGAATCAGTCACCTTTGAGTTATAATATATATTTATACTAGATAGATCTATATTATTTTGTTCAATTTCGTTACCAGTAGCATGTGTGAGATCACAAATGTTCAGTACGGAGACCTGACCACCGCTACTGAAAGCGTTACGACCTTCTCTATTAGTGATTAAATTAAGATAGTTACTAGAAATAAAAATTATTTATGTAAAAGTTTTCATATTAAATTAATTAATTAATGGTTTTATCTTCTTTTGGACCAAACCGCGACTAGGCTTCCGAGCTATATTCGAGCTTTATTCAATGCCTGATGATGCCTCGTTCAGAGGCGAAACACGTGTCGCGATATGGGTGTAGATTCAATAAAGGTCGGAATTTGATCACCAATAGAGGTCGTAACGGTAGTTAAATTTCCGCACTGAATATTTGTGATCTCATGCTAATGGTAGCAGAATTAAACAAATTTTGTTTTATACTACTAAGGTGGCATTGAAGCATACGGCCCATCTGATGGTAAATGGTTACCGTAGCCTATGGACGCCTGAAACACCACGGGTGTCACGTGCGCGTGCCGACCCTTAAGAAACCTTAATATACCCTTGAAAAACCCCATGCTGTAGTCTCGTGAGAAAACCTCGGCAGGAAGTTCATTCCATAAATCCAATAATTAATGTCCGCAAAATAAGACCTATTCGATAAAATATCGGTTAGTTTTAACTATTTTAATATAACGAACTCTTTACTTTAATCTATTTCTTAATATCAAAATTAAGTATTTGTATTTGTTTTGTTTCAGATCAGAACAATGAAGCTGCAATGGTGGCTCTTTCTTTGGATTTCAACATGCTTTTCTCCAGGTATAAATGCTTACAACTAAAAATGAATACTAATATAATGTAATAAGAATTCAAATTCAAAATATCTTTATTCATATAGATCTATTACAGACTCTTATGATATGTCGAATCTACCGTAAGTTCGGAATAATTTCGAAATGAGAAGAACTGACAAGAAACTCAGCTCGTATTCTTTTCAAATAAATGTCATACATGTTTACAAAAATACACAGTTATTAAAATTCAAATTTGGGAACATAGGGATAAAAAACACATATATGGAAATGTATTGAAGAGCTAGATGTACTTGACTGAGGCATTTTTTATATTTAGTAGTACTTAGTAGTCATCTCTACATTGTGTTATTGTAATCCAATTATTTTTTAGAGAAATAAACATTTACATTATTATACTTATTAAAATAATATAATTAAAATAATAATACAAAAATCTAATCCCACTAGTTGCTTGAATTTTTTTTAAATTATATCTTAAAATACATATCCATTCATAATTTAGCCACGCTCTTGTCGGTGGAGCACCACATTGAGGCGATGAACTGGATGAAATGCACTATATAGGCGAGAATATCTTCTCCATGCAACGCTATTTCTGAAACTACATCAAATCAATAAAAAATGTATATTTTCTATGTATTACACATACTACCATGTATTTGACACACACGTATACACTCATTTGTTTATTTCTTATTGCCGATCTAAATATCTTTCTTGTATTTTTATTATGATCGAATGGTTGTTCGACCAATATACTATAATTATTATTGTCTATGATCGCCGTACTAATAGTATCATCATCTGCTTCTTCTTTTACCCATTTATTTGTGGTCAGCGTAATATGTTTTTCTCTTCCATTCATCTCTGTTCGCAGTCATCTCGTTATTTACTCCCTTTCTCACCATATGATCTTTCACACAGTCCATCCATCTCTTTTTCGGTCTTCCTCTACCCTTATAATCATCCACATTCATATGTAACACCCTCTTTAGGATAGGATCTTCATTCCTACGCATTACATGCCCATACCACGATAGACGATTACTCTTTAACCTCTCCGACATCGGCGCCACTTTCATACTTCCTCTAATGTATTCCTTCTTTATCTTGTCTATTCTTGTCACACCATCCATCCATCTCAACATTCGTATTTCAGTTGCATGCAGTCGTCTCTCATCCGTCGCCTTTATGGGCCAGCACTCTGATCCATATAAAACAGCAGGCCGGATCATGGTCTTGTAAATTTTGGCCTTAAGTTTAATAAACTCGTGAGTCGCACGTCGTTGCCGGAACCTATCGCCACTTCATTTAACCAGAGTTAATTCTGTGCTTTATGGTTTGGTCTTTTCGCCATTGCTTTAGTGCCGTGCTAATAATAATGTTAATTTAATTTGCTTTGGCTACCACGACAGCGTAGTGTAGGGCTATAGTAAAATTCGGTTAGTTAAGTTTTTCGAAAATAAAAGTTGTTCTTTTATTATTTTTTGTACTGACAATTTTAACTAATTGCACTAGTTAGGAGTTGCGTTGCGGTTTCTATGTTGATTATCGCATGCCTTCTTCTTGTTATTGCATATTTTTTTTATTTAAAACTAGCTGTACACGCGACTTCGTCCGCGTCGTGTTAAACTTTAATTTACTAAAATGAAGGTTTTTTTTAAATAAAGGTAGTCTAAGTTACTACTTATTACATCAGTTACCTGCCAATAAAAGTCCCGTCAAAATTGGTCTCGCCATTTCAGAATTTATCCGGAACAAACAGACAGACAAAAATTGTAAACAAATGTTATTTTAGTGTATGTACCGTATTTACATTCATATGCAAGCAGTAAAAACGGTTATTTCAGTATTACAAACAGACACTCCAATTTTATTTATATGTATAGAGTATAGATGTATAGATAACAAACATATCACTTTCGTAAACTACAACCAAATAAACGACTATTAAGTAAGTTTACAGACTATATAAATAATTGAAATATAACCATACGTTTAAAAACAGAAAGCTTTCACTGACATTTATTTACGCCTCCAAACATTGTACTTGCTAAACGTGTTAACATTCTAACTTATCATAGGGTTACGAATGGGAGCAATATTGTAAGTCAAACTCAAGTATTTTAAACTCAAACTAAACTTGCTGTTCCCGCGATTTCACCCGAGTAAAGTGTCTGTATGTTATTATGATTATTTAAACTTTAGGCTACGGTAATCATTTACCATCAGATAAGCCGTATGCTTGATTGCTGCCATCGTAGTATATAAAAAAACCTGACATAGTACAGTATTAGGAATGAGGTTCTTAAATTCGCATTACTAACAATCTCCTTACGGAGGGAAAGAAGATTGTTAGTGTGTGGACTCATGACCCCATTACTAGCAATATACCATGTCAGTTTGACCTCCACGCGGTTCCCCCTGGAAATCATCGAGATAAATTCCTGGTGAAATTGACACGATGGGCTAACTGACCTGACCTCATGTTCATCTTATCAGCATCCACTGGTGCCCCGCCAGCGTAAACCGTTAGCGCAGGCGGGTGCACCATGCCATTATCATCTGCAAAAAAAAAGTACTAGGAATGAGGTTATTAACTCCACATTATTAACAATCCCCCTCTCCTCAAAGTAAGAAAGTAAGAAAGAAAGAAAGAAAGAAAGAAAGAGAGAAAGAAAGAAAGAAAGAAAGAAAGAAAGAAAGAAAGATAGAAAGAAAGAAAGAAATAAAGAAAGAAAAACATTTATAGACAACCATTACTACATTTACACATTTGACAAAGGTACATTTTACATATATATACATACATATGCACACACACACTCATATACATACATACATACACACTTAGAACGTAAGTATAAAGTTATGATAGATAGATGATAGATAAAACTTTTGCGTTAAAAGGTACAATAAGATGAAGATAAAAAAATTACTGACTTTTTAATTAGGTCAATCATGTCAGACGACCTAAATGGCGAGCTACGTATGTTTATGTATTTTTTAATATAAACTTCCTTTTGTTATTTAGGTGGTTACTAAGATTTAGTAGATTATTTTCCTGAAATTCCCACGGGAACAAGTAAACCAATTTTATTGTAAACTTAGAAACTGTTCATTCACGTGGTAGTCATATTGCATACATATAAATAGTTCTTGCATCGTCTGTTGTGCAAAAGCACACTTCATTATCCCTTTTTTCAAATTCAAATTCAAAATATCTTTATTCATGTAGGTCTATTTATTACATACTCTTATGATATGTCAAATCTACCGTCAGTTCGGAATGATTTCGAGATGAGAACAACTGACAAGAAACTCAGCTCGTATTCTTTTCAAATAAATGTTGTACATGTTTATAATAATACAGATTCATTTTAAATTCAAATTTGGGAGAATAGATTGATCAGAGTTATGTTAATAATTTTGTTTTTATCTATACATATATGTATAGCATATAAATAAAATTGTAGTGTCTGTTTGTAACATTGAAATAACCGTTTTTTACTACATGCAATGTAAATACTGTACATACACCAAAATAACATTTTTTACAATTTTTGTCTGTATGTCTGTTTGTTCCGGCTAATCTCTGAAATGGCTGCACCGATTTTGACTGGACATTTTTTGGCAGGTAGCTGATGTAATAAGGAGTAACTTAGGCTACTTATATTTTAGAAAAAAAAAAACTCCACGCGGTCGAAGTCGCGGGAACAGCTAGTATAATAAATATTTAGTGAATTAAAAGAAAAATATTACGGAAGCTGATGTTCATGATTTATTGACAGGTTCCTCGAATATGCTGCCGGTGTTCATTCAGGACATGAACAATTTGGCGCTGTCGGAGACCACGCCCGTCGGAGCTGAGGTGTACACTCTGCAGGGGACAGACCCTGAGGGGTTCCCAGTGAGTATAGTTTCCCACATGTATATATACATGAAGATAATATTTTCAGGAAGGTGTTACTATGAACGTGGATGGTTAAGGACAGAGGACGGACGAAAAAGACATGAATGGACTGTGTGAAAGATGATGTGGTAAGAAAATAACGAGATGAGTGCGAACAGGGATGAATGGAAGAGAGAAACATTACCGCGACCACAAATAAATGGGATAAGGAAGAAGTAGATGATGATGAAGTACAGGCAGGTCCTTGTACTCACGGCATTTTAAGTTCTCGAAATACGCGACGTAAATCGAAACGACGTATGTCGAGGACTGCCTGTATAACATATATATATATTATATTAACTGTAAATGGTACTTAGTTGTTCACTACTCGACTATCAAGACCTAAGTGTCCTCTCAAATGTATTCTCTCCCCAGTACTCGCTATTGCCCCACCACCAATGTGACATGGCATGCCATAGACTAGCCACAGACACCGGTATTCATTCTAGTAGGTAGTAAAGGTGTGCAGAATATGGCGCTGCTATCTACACAGCATAACTTAGTGGCGCCCTCTATCAACTTTCTTACGATAGCGGCAACAACCCACATTTTATCCTATTATTATAGCAGTATTTATAGCAAACCATGGCATATATAACCTTAGGGAGGTTAGCTGGGAGAGAATGCCATACGTAAGGTCACCTGTTGTACAAGTATTTATCTTCAATAAAGAATATGCTATATATATATAATCGAGCGCAGTGATGGCTGGCTCATCCGTCATACTCGTGAAACGAGTGCTGCTTGTAGGGACTGGTCTGCTCTTATCACTACGGCAGATTTAATCTTATTGCATATTTATATTTGACCCAAAAAATTAGTGCTTGTTGGTAGTTTGTATTCACACGTTTCGACTTGTAAATGTAAACTTACAAGGATTATTTAAAAGAGCAACACACAAGTTTCTTGCTCGTTCTTCTTGTGATGAGACAGCTTTCCGAACGAGTGGTAGATAAAAAACAAATTGTTATGACTATTCAAAAGTGCTTAAATTAAGTTTATTTGAATAAATGATTTTCTATTCTAATAATGGATAAATATTTCATCTTTCAGATCAAATACGGTTTAGTTGGAACGGATAAATTCGTTGTCAACTCTACTACCGGTGTCGTTACACTGAATCGACCATTGGATAGAGAAGTAAGTACTTAATTATAATTTGTACAATATAATAATCATAATAATAACAATAACAACCCTGTACAATCCACAGCCACAGAAGTGGGAGAGAGACTTGTTAGCAATGTGGTCTAATGACCCTATTGCTAATTTTAACTTACTGGGGAAAATATTTTTAGTTGCGATTAAATCAAAAGAAAAACGATACACGATAAGTGATATGTTTTTTTTAAATACACATAGAAGTCACCTACACCCATACAAACAATCATGCTCATGAATGTTTGCACCGTACGAGGTATCGAACCCGCAACATATTTGGAAAGTAACACGGTGAGCTACACCGCGGCCGTCACTATACTTCCACGCTGTCTAATTTTTTTATGATTATGTCTTTGGTGACGTCATACTCTGCCGGTATAGAATGAAAGAAGGGGGATGAAATATGGTCAGAAGAGTGTTAACCTAAATTCATGTCCGGTCCTGTATGACGGCCTCGGTGGTCTAGCGGTTTAGCTCACTTTACTTCCGATAGTCGCGGGTTCGATTCCTCATACGGTGCAAACATTTCTATTCGTGAGTATGAGTGTATGTATCGGTCTGGGTGTTTTCTATGTATATTATGTATGTATTTACAAAAAAAGTATTCCATTATCATCCTTAAAAAAATATATATGTATATGTATTGGTAGAAATGAATAAATGTCATATAAAAGTGTATATATTTGATTTATTATTCTTAAATAACACTACAAAAATATTGCCAATATTCTGATTTTCTTATCTCTTGCTTACGGACTACGAACCTGTGGAGCAGAATCATGTCTGCATTTCCCGACCATTACTAGACCATAAAATACTCTTTCTGATCATCATAATTTTACTTCGCAGGTGGAAGATACGATCAAGTTCCTAGTATCGATAGAAGATCAGAACCCAGATCGTGCGCAGAATCAGGTCCTGTCACAACCGGTCACCGTCATCGTATTGGATGAAAATGACAATCCACCGATATTCAAAAATGTAAGTTGTATTGTGTAAGACCTAAATATTTTAGGAATATGGTAATGGTTACAAATCTTTAAAATTTTCACTCTGTCCCAAAAATATTTTAAAGAAAATTTACAAGACTACAGCATGGGGTTTTTAAGAAGGGTGGGTATATTAAGGTTTATTAAGGGTCGGCAACGCGCACGTGACACCCCTGGTGTTTCAGGCGTTCATAAGCTACGGTAACCATTTACCATCAGATGGGCCGTATGCTTGATTGCCACCATTGTAGTATAAAAAGAAAATGGTTTTTTAACAAAGACAGTGTGAGGGTTGCCATTCGCGTAAAAAAGTAAATAAGTACCGATGACGTAATCATTATCTAGACTCCCCTACCCCCCCAAGTCACCGAAAAAAACCAAAGCAAAAGACCCTCCCCCCCCCCCTAGTGCTTACGTAATACTTGAACGGCCCCTGATCCTCCGACACATGTATTTTATATTCTATTCTATACGTAATACATCTCATATTTCAATGCAGCGAGGTACGTTGTTTTTACCGGTTCTTTAAGCACATATATTTTGCGAAAGGGATATCTAACTATAACAGAATATTAATAACATAACTGTTTGCATTCATGCGATGCTAAGGGAGTCACGCATTTTGAGTTTCTGCGTTAGTAAAACATCTTGTAAAAAGTCTTATAGGGTTAGATTCCTCAGTGGATGTTTTGTCTTGAAAGATTTGATTATTTATATCTGTTACGCCCAATTTACACTCAGCCCGAGTGGGAAGGGAAGTGAGCAGCGCGAGAGTGTAAACACGAGTGGAAACACTTCCCATGCCATTGGCGCTGCCACTCGCGGTGCCCGGCGCTCCCTCGATTGTCGGTATTTCGTGCGCGAGTCAAAGGACTGGCAGCGCGAGTGGCAGCGTGTTTTTACATTCAACTCTCGCTCAGTTGTCGCCCGGCAATATTTCCGGCAGCGCGAGTGGCAGGGGCAGCGGCTGAATGTAACGTAGTAGCCGCGACTACGTTCGCTTACTACTCTATGGATTTATATTATTTTGTTTAATTCCGCTACAATTAATGTGTGAGACTACGAATATCCGGTGTGGAAACCTGACCAGCGCTACGACCTTCTCCAGTGGTGATCAAATTCCGACCGTTATTGAGTCTACACCCATATCGCGACACGTGTTTCGCCTCTGAACGAGGCATCATCAGGCGTTAATTGGAGTTCGGGTACAGCTCGGAAGCCTAGTGTTGACTCATCGGCGACCAAACCGCGACAAGAGTAACTTAGGCTACTTTAATTAAAGTTTCTTAAATAAAAGTAGCCTAAGTTACTCCTGATTACAACAACTACCTGCCAAAAAAAGTCCGGTCAAAATTGGTCCAGCCATTTCAGAGATTGGCCGGAACAAACAGACAGACAGACAAAAATTGTAAAAAATGTTATTTTGGTGTATGTACAGTATTTATAGACATGCATGTAGTAAAAAACGGTTACTTCAATATTACAAACAAACACTCCAATTTTATTTATATGTATAGATGTATAGATGTTATTTTGGTCACCGAATATTCGTAGTCTCACACATGTTAATTGTAGCGGAACTAAACAAAATAATGTAAATCCATCGAGTAGTGAAATGAACTTCCGCAAAATAACACCTATTATTAAAAGAGCAACACACAAGTTTCTTGCTTGTTCTTCTTGTGATGAGACAGCATTCCGAATGAGCGATAGATTAAAAAAAAAATGTTATGACTATTCAAAAGTGCTTCCATGTAAGTTTATTTGAATAAATGATTTTCTATTCTATTCTATTCCTAATTCGATTAAATATATAAATTCGCTTCGTCATCAAAAACACTATCGCGATTAGTAGTGGACAGTTTTTCTTAGATCCTTTGAAGAAGAATAAGTCTTTTATACATATCATTGGGTAACTTCAACAGTTTACCTAGCGCACGCAACTGATGCCCCCAAATATGAATAATTTTCCGTTTTAGCAACATTTTTCACTGATGCTTCACTTCTATTGGTCGTATCGTAATGTTATATACTTAGTTTAAAGCCTTTCTCGACAAATGGACTATCCAACACAATAATTTTTCAATTCGAACAAGTACTTCCTGAGGTTAGCGCGTTCAAACGAACAAACAAGCTCTTCAGCTTTATAATATTACTACCTACTCGGCCCGGCTTCGCACGGGTGTACATGTATCTAAATATATATAACTCAAAGGTAACTGACATAGTGGTCTATCAACGCACAAAGATAATACATGTACAATGTATTATCTTATATACAAAATTCTCGTGTCACAGATTTCGTTCGCATACTCCTCCGAAACGGCTTGACCGATTCTCATGAAATTTTGTGAGCGTTTTGAGTAGGTCTGAGAATCGGCCAACATCTATTTTTCATCCCCCTAAATATTAGGGGTAGTCGACCCCGAGCTGATGTAATCAGGAGTAACTTAGGCTACTTTTATTTAAGAAACTTTAATTAAAGTAGCCTAAGTTACTCTTGTCGCGGTTTGGTTTATTTTTTAGACAATATTTTTAGTTTCTATTTTTTTATGATACAACATACAAAAATACATACAATCCTAAATTTTCACCCTTCTATCATCAACCCCTATTTTTTTATAGCATTATTAATTTATATGGCAAAACAACGTTTGCCGGGATAGCTAGTATACATATATAAACCTTCGTCTTGAATCACTCTATCTATTAAAAAAACCGCTTCAAAATCCGTTGCGTAGTTTTAAAGATTTAAGCATACACGGAAAAGCTAGTTTACAATAAAATTATTGTGTTAAAATCCGGGTAATAATATAAATTATGTATATCATAATATGCTTCCAAATTTCAGAGTCCATACGAAGTTGATGTTCCAGAAGACGAAGACGTTGGTAAAACAATCCTGACCAACATTTATGTAGAAGATAAGGATTCAGTTGGTGATAACTTAGAAGTTGGGTGTATGAGCGACCAGGTAAGAATGTTTTTTTTAAGCTATAATGGAAAGGTGCACATGGTTTAACGGTTTACACTGGCGGGGCAGTAGAGGTCTGGTCAGTTAGCCATCGTGACAAATTCACCAGGAATTTATCACGAGCTCCCGGGGTACCACGTGTAGAATAACTAGTCAAATCTCACTTTCTCTATAATTAAAATTTCTTTAATGTCTTGTTTCGTCATACATGTATTTTTTTATATATTTTATTTATGTATGTGTATATCTTATATATAAAATTCTCTTGTCACAGTTTTCGTTCCCATACTCCTCCGAAACGGCTTGACCGATTCTCATGAAATTTTGTGAGCGTACCTACTCAATAAGTAGGTCTGAGAATCGGCCAACATCTATTTTTCATCCCCCTAAATGTTAGGGGTGGTCCACCCCTAATTTTTTTTTTATTTTAAGGCAAAACAACGTTTGCCGGGACAGCTAGTTGTTTATATATACATTATGTATTTAGTATGTATATGTATTTAGTATTCATATAATATTTAACTCTCTGTTTTAGTGCGCCACCTACCTTTCCCTCACCTAATACTTTTATCTCCCTGGTTGTCTGTAAGAGATCGCTTTGAGCGATAAAGTCGTATTTTCGCATATTTTCCTTTTTTAATTTGTTTTTTTTATGCGCAATAAAGAATTTTTACTATTTTTTTTTTATTAATAACATGAGATGGTACATTGTTAGCAATATTAGTTCATATTATCATATCATATCATAACAATCCCTTTCTTCCCCTGGTGGGCCGGGTCAATGTGCTCCCTCTAATATGATTGACTGCAATGATGCCTGCCTCATTCGTTGTACTCCTGAACAGGTGCCACTTGTGGGGACTGCTCTGTCCAGTTTACGGCTACTGATTAGATTCTTTGATAGATAGATCTTCACTGATATATCTCTTTGACAAAATGGCAATAGCATATGCTACAGTATAATGTAAATTAAATATTGTAATGGGTGAAAACTGTGATTGGTACATTTTATGCTGTAAATAATATAAATGACGTAGTGGAGTAACTTGAAACAGTCATGCTCGCTATAAAGTTCAAACTTGTGGTGGCGTGGTGGGCCGGGTCGAACTGCTCCCTCTAATATGGTTGAGTGCAATGATGGGTGGCATCCGTCATACTCGTGTACGGGTGCTGCTTGTGGGGACTGGTCTGTTCAGGTTGCGAACACTGATTTGATTTTTTGATTTTTTTTTATATAGCATATGCTGTTGGTCACTCTATTCTCCCAAATTTGAATTTAAATGAAATTGTATTATTGTAAATATGTACAACATTTAAAAAATAATAATACGAGCCGAGTTTCTTGTCCGTTCTTCTCATCTCGAAATCATTCCGAACTGACGGTAGATTTGACATATCATAAGAGTCTGTAATAGACCTACATGAATAAAGATATTTTGAATTTGTACAGCATATGCTAGAGGTCACTATATTCTCTCTAATCGAATTTAAAATTTAATCTATATTTTTGTAAACATGTACAAGCTCGTTTGAAAAGAATAAGAGCTAAGTTTCTTGGCAGCTCTTAGGTTGAAAGTACTTCGAACTGACGGTAGTTTTGGCATATCATAAGTCTGTAATAGACCTACATGAATAAAGATATTTTGATTTTTATGTTCTAGTGGAGTGAAGCGTGCGAGACTTTTGACGTGGTGTCTCTGAACTCGTCGTCCAATCATTACACCGGTGCTTTGGTGCTGAAGAAGAAACTCAATTACAACGAGAAACAGTTCTACCAGTTCCAGTTGTACGCTACTGTGAGTATACCCGGTATATTTTACTAGCTGTGCCTGCGGTTTTACTCGCGTGGCATTTACAGCCTAGTTGTCCTATTATGATGTATAAGCTATAATATTGTAAAGTAAATAGAGCCATATTATTGTAAATACAAATTTTGCCTATTCATTTTTATATAAAACTAGTTCACCCTGCAAACGTTGTTTTGCCATATGAATTAAAATCGCGATTAAAAAATAAGTTGCTGATAGAAGAGTGAAAATTTAAAACTGTATGCATTTTTAAATGGCACATAATAAAAAAATAGAAATATATTTTTTTTTACGAAAAATGAAAATAAAAAAATTATCGGGTGAGCCACCATTAACACTTAGGAATTAACACTAGTTATAAACCTATTCTCAGACCTATTGAATATATGTATAAAATTTCATCAAAATCGGTCAAGCCGTTTCGGAGGAATATAAACACGAACCTGTGACATGACAATTTTATATATTAGACTAGCTACTCGCCCCGGCTTCGCCCGGGTGTACATGTATTATACGTATAAACATTTCTCTTGAATCACTCTATCTATTAAAAAAACACTTCAAAATCCATTGCGTAGTTTTAAAGATTTAAGAATACATGGGGACGGACAGACAGCGACAGCGACTTTATTTTATACTATGCAATAATGATGATAAGACATTTTTCTCAAAACTTGTAACATGTGATATAATAAAAAAATGCTATTACCAGGATGGTACCCTCAACTCAACAGCCCATGTGGAAGTAAAAGTGGTGGATGTTCAGGACTCTCCCCCTGTGTTCAGTGGCTCTCTTACTGGAGCTCTATCTGAAGATACACCAGTTGGTACCCTCGTGTTGACCATCAAAGCCAGGGATGCGGATAGAGCTCAACCACGGGATGTGCGACTGGAATTAGTAACTAGTAAGTATTTAGTTTTAAATTATATTCATGTTTGTATGAACGGATACAAGGCACCCCACGGGGCACGATCTTCAGCCCTTCTCTTGCAGTTACTCCAGTATGTCGTCGCTTCACCTAGCTCGGGACGTCCTACAGTACGTTTGCCAATTCGCGGTCTCCACTCTAGAACACGTCTAATCCAACGAGCATCGGTTTTGCTACAGATATGACCAGCCCACTGCCACTTCAACTTGAGAACGAAGAGCTATGAATTAAAGGCGATAAAAAATAACTTATGTTACTCCTCTTATTATAATTATAAATGTGTTATATATATAATAAATATAAATTTGTGTGAAATATCCATCTATCCATCCATGGATAATCATTACCTTTCGTAATTATATGTCTAACTAGCTGTTCTCGCGTGGAATGTAACTTTATTTTATTAAAAAAAAATTTGTAACATAAAAGTAGCCTAAGTTACTTTTTATTACATCAGCTACCTGCCAAAAAAAGTACCGCAAAAATCGGTCCAGCTATTTCAGAGATTAGCCGGAACAAAAAGACATAAGTAAAATGCTCTTTTCTATTTAACAAATAAATCAGTACTATTAAATATATACTCGTAATATAATAAATCTGAAGAGTTTCTTTGTTTCTTTGTTTGAACGCGCTAATCTTAGGTACTACTGGTGCGAATTGAAAAAATATTTTTGTGTTGGATAGTCCATTTGTCGAGGAAGGCTTTGAACTATATAACATTACGCTACGACCAATAGGTTGAATGAAATGGAGCTGCTACTGCTGCTAGAATGAAAGATATTGCAGAAGGTGGGGAAATGAATCGAAGACGAATATATATATATATATATTCAATGTAGTATAGACGTAGTATATATATAGTAATAATAATATCTGTTCTCAGATCCGTTAGACTTCTTCCTTCTGGACAGCGTGACGGGAGAATTACGTACAGCCAAACCTCTGGACAGAGAAGCATTAGCTGATCCTTCATCACCACTAAACCTGACAGTTAGAGTGAGTAACTAACAGTTTTAAAACAATAAGGCTTTAATTTACCTAAAAAACATTTAAATTATATTGAAATTGCTTATTTAAATTATTAACCGGGTCTTAACACTTAAAGAAATTCAAGCAAAGTTCAGTAGCATCAATAGTCAATAAGTGTACGGATACCGTGAGTGCTGTGTGTCGCGAACTTTCGTTAAATTATCTAGTGACGGTAGATGAAGAAAAAACTGCTGTCACCTATCTACATTGACATCGCTGTTACTCCAGTCAGCTCGTGACCACGGCTAGTGCAACCTAGTCGAAACGTCGAGAGAGGTAAATACCTTTATTTGCCATAAAATTATTCGTGTTAAGACCTGGTTAATAATATAAATTGATTGCAAATTTGTATTCATGAGAATGATTGTTTGTATCAGTGTGGGTGTTTTATAATGTACTAGCTTTTGCTCGCGGCTTCGCTCGCGTTAATTTATCCCTTAGGGGTGGAATTTATCAAAACACTTTACATTACTCATTTGTAATGATTTTGATACATTTTTTTATATATTATGATGTGTGATATAATAAATGTTATTTTATTCTAAATTAAATACGGGCTTATCTTGTTAAAGGCAACGGAAGTAGTGAACGGCGTACCCCTAATCTCGGAGCTGACCTCAACCCTCGCCACAGTCACCGTGACCATCAAGGACGTGAATGATGAACCCCCTCGCTTCAACAGACGGGAGTATATGATAGAAATTCCGGAGAGTCTCCCAGTGGGGACGCCACTACCCAATTTGGACATGGTGGTCACAGATACTGATGTTGTAAGTTATTACTATATATTTGACTAGCTGTGCCAGTGGTCACTCACTTAAAATTTAGCCTATATGTTAATCTGATGTATAAGGTATATTATTGTAAAATTTCATCAAAATCAGTTCAGTAGTTTTTGCGTGAAAGAGTAACAAACATCCATACTCATAAACTTTCGCATTTATTATATTAATAAGATTTTATTTTGTTACTCAATTTGCTGTAGCGCGATTATCAACTCACTACTATAGCTATATATATCACATGCTGTGTCCACGGCTTCACCCGCGTTAAATTTCAATATAAAATATAGCCTATGTGTTATTCTGATGTATAATCTATATTACCGTAAAGGTTCATCAAAATCCGTCTAATAGTTTTTGCGTGAAAGAGTAACAAACATCCATACTCAAAAACTTTCGAGTTTGTAATATTATTATTTGATGTGACGAGGTGTCGCTTCATAATTTATTTGTTTATTGTATTATGTAGGTAGTGAGTATACTTGCGGTTAGGTCATATAGCCCATCGTGACAAATTATCAGAAACTTAACACGACGGTTTCCAGGGGGCGCTACGCATATCTCATGCTCATTCTTGTGTTCCGAATGAGCTGTAGAACCAGTGGAGGATGATAAGACGAGCATGAGATCAGGCCGGTTAGCTTATAGTGACAAATTTACCAGGACCTTAACATGCTCCAGGAACAACCGTGTAGTGGTTAACAAAACATAGTACATTGCTAGCAATAGCAATTTTATTTAAGACTAGAGGGTGCGTGTTTGCGCGGGCCTCAAGAGGCCCGCGAGGCGTTGTCGTTGATTTTTTTTGTGAAGACGGTTTTCTTTTCGAATAGACTTGGTTGGCAAGTAGAGTTGTCTGTTTTGATACGATTAGGTGACTTCCTATTGTAACAGTGAATTTTTGTTTCACGTGTACCATCCTGTGGCGAAACTTTGTATTGTAATGGTCACAATAGAAAACCTAACCTAACCTACCTTTCTGCTTACTATATTATTCTGAGGCCATAATTTCTACTGTAAGAGTCGCAACACAAAACCTCATATTACCTACCTTTCTGTATTAGTATACAGAAATGTATGCTTAGTGTTGCCACCTAATTTTACAAAAAATCGCATGAAATTTATTGCAATGGTCACAATACAAAACCTCATATTACCTACCTTTCTGTATTAGTATACAGAAATGTATGCTTAGTGTTGCCACCTAATTTTACAAAAAATCGCATGAAACTATTAAGATGAGATTTATTATAGATCCCCGTCACTCTTATGTTAGAATGTCGAAAAAAAAAATTCCCACATTTTGGGTTTGCAAAATTACCCAAAAATCGGGGAAAATTTGTAGCCTAGATAATATTTCGAACCGAAATCTACCATAGCTCAATAAAGGTCGACTCGCTGCAGGGAAGCCCGGTACCCCAAAATGTATTCCTAAATTTATCATCAGAGATAAATTACTTAAACTCGGCCGTCATCTTGGATTTTTCCTTTTTGAATATTTTTAATTTATCCACTTTGGTGACAGAAACATTTGTCCATACATTGTACAGAGCTAAGGTGACTCCTTCTAGTAGTTCCTTAGTACTGTTTACTATGAGAATTAGTTAATACTTCGCACCGAGAGTTTCCATTCCTCAGTACAAGTTAATTCGTTGCAGGGATGATAGGTGCCACAAAACGGAATTTTAAAAAGTTCTTAAAATTGTCATCATAGATAAAGTATCCTCACTCGGCCGCCATCTTGGATTTTTCCTATTTAAATACTTTTAACATATACACAGAGCCCAGGTTACATACACCTAGGAGTTCCTTAGTACGGTTTAGTATGAAAATCGATGTATGGTGTTGCCAGGAGATTTTGACAAAAACCACCTAGGACCCTTTGGGGGATGATTTTGGACCAACGCTCATAACTGTTTTGTTCAACTTAACGAAAAAAAAAAATTTCCCACGTTTTTTTACTTTTCTTCGAAATTACCCCAAAATCGGGAAATTTTTTTAGACCAGGTAATATTTCCCACCGAGAGTTTCCATTGCTCTATAGAAGTCAACTCGCTACAAGGTTTAGTGGTACCTCAAAATTGAATTTTTAAAAGTCCCTAAAAATGTCAACATAAATTAAGTACCCTAACTCGGCCGCCATCTTAGATTTTTACTTTTTAATACTTTTGACATATTCACCCTAGTAACAGAAACATTTCGTTCATACATTGTACAGAGCCTCGGTGACTCCTAGTACTATTCTCTAAGAAAACTTGGGGAAAATTTTTATACCAGGTAATACTTTGTGTTGAGACACATCATCTCTCCATAGAAGTCGACTGGCTGTGGGGTTGGCAAGTGTCCTAAAACTACATTTAAAAATATCCCAAATTTTCTCCGAAAAGCAAAACTCCCCTATCTCTGCCGCCATTTTGGATTTTTACTTCTTAATACTTTGACGTATTCACCTTAGTAACAGAAACATTTCGTCCATACATTATGTAGAGCTTCGGTGACTTCTTCTTGTACTATTCCCTAAGAAAACTGATCTGAGGTGTTGCCAGATAATTTTGACAAAAACCACCTAAAATCAATAGGGGGATGACTTTTGACAGATTTTCATCATTCTTTTGTTTGAAATGTCGAAAAAAAATTTTCCCACTTTTTAGGACCTGTCTCAAAAAATACCCCAAAACCGGGGAAAATTTTCATACCAGGTAATACTTTGTGTCAAGAGACATCATCTCTCCATAGAAGTCGACTCGCTGCGGGGTTGCCATGTGTCCTAAAACAACATTTAAAAATGTCCCAAATTTTCTCCGAAAAGCAAAACTCCCCTATCTGTGCCGCCATCTTGGATTTATAAAATTTCATAATTTTCCCTAGAGGCCGAGTCCTTTGGCTATCCGACGCCACACAGTGTGTTGAGCTAGCACACTCGTAGGTACCCTATCAATTTCAGTTTTTGAAGCTACATCTCAATTTCAAAATTTGTACCATGTTGTATGGGTGTTGCCAGCAAATATCGATAAAATCCACCTAAACCCCTTCGGGGGACGATTTTTGGTAGACCAACAAGACTTTTTCATTTAAAATGTCGAAAAAAATTTTTCCCACTTTATGGGACTTTTCTCAAAATTTAACCCAAAATCGGGGAAATTTTTTAGACTTTATAAACCTTTCTACTGAGAGTTATCCAAGTCCGTAGGAAGAGACAAGCTTCGAGGTTGCCATGTGCAGCAAAAACGCGATTGAAAATATCCCAAAATTTTTCCAAAAACTTAATCTCCCATAGCTTGGCCGCCATCTTGGATTTCTGAAATTTCATAATTTTCCCTAGAGGCCGGGTCTTTCAGCCTCCCAATGCCCTACAATAGGGATCGGTAGCATCCCCGCAAGTACCCTAGGAATTTCAGTTTTTGGAGAGACACCCCAATTTCTATTTTGGTCAAACCATGTATGGGTGTTGCCAGCAAATTCCAACAAAACCCACCTAAAACTCTTTAGGGGATGTTTCTCGATAGGCCTTGATGCCTCTTTTGTCAAAAATGCCGAAAAAATTTTTTCCCACTTTTTGGGACATTTCTCCCAAATTACCCTAAATTCGGAAATTCTTTTTATCGCTGGCAATACTTCTTACCGAGACCCATCATTGCCCCATAGAAGCCGATTCGCTGCGGGGTTGCCCTATATCTAAAAAATGACTTTGAAAATAATCCGGATTTTTAGGACCAAATTCACACGCCCGCAACTCGGCGGCCATCTTGGATTTTCGAAATTTCATAATTTTCCCTAGAGGCCGGGTCCTTCGACTTTCCTATGCCCCACAACCGGTGTCGCCAGCACCCCCGCAACTACCCTGGGAATTTCGGTTTTTGAAACCCTCGAAAAATTACAATTTTCATTTTCATTTTTCACGCCGCCATCTTGGATTTTATTTTTTTCTTTTAACCTGACATGCAACCGTTTGCGGCCCGCTACGAACTACCGCTTGAACGAAATCGATCCGACGGAAATTGACAAAGTTCAGCCGCCATCTTGGTCCGCCATCTTGGATTTTCCCAACTTTCGGAATTTTCTCGTGGTCACCCTAGCGTGGGGTACACTTCCCCCATACATCGTCACGACCCCCCGGCACTCCTTCTGGGAGAACAACTATGTCAATCAGTGAGTCACCGTAATGCAGCTTTATATATTATAGACTAGCTTTTGCCCGCGGCTTCACTCGTGTTAATTTATCCCCTTAGGGGTGGAATTGATTAAAATCCTTTCTTAGGGGATGCTTACGTCATAGTAGCTTTATGCATGCAAAGTCTCAGCCCGATCGGTTTAAAATTGATAAAGTTTCACACAAACTTTCATCCCCTATTTTATCCCCTTGGGAGTAGAATTAATCAAAATCCTTTCTTAGCGGATGCTTACGTCGTAATATCTACCTGCATGTCAAATTTCAGCCCGATCCGTCCAGTGGTTTGGGCTGTGCGTTGATAGATCAGTATGTCAGTCACCTTTGAGTTATATATATTTAGATTTTTTTTATTACCTAACGTTTTTATTTTTATTTTCCCCAGGGTCTGAACTCTGCATTCTCCTTACGTCTGTCTGACGAGTTTGGAGCGTTCATAGTGGAACCATCCACAGCTACCGGCAGTGCATCTGTCACGCTGCGACTTAATTCTACCCTTGATTATGAAGACCCTAACCAGAGGAAGTTCATATTAGAGGTACGCATTTATTTCATAATCACCAACTGCAAAATATTTTATTCATACTATTTCTGATATACTTGGTCTCGGTGATCTACAGTTTATCACACCACTTTACTTATCAATACAAGTAAAGTGATGTGCTAAACTGCAAACTTTTATTCCAATAAACCTAAACTAAACTAGGTCAACAATTTTTCATTAGTTGGTGACTTCGGTAAAAGTGGCGGTACTATCTGTCTCGCTCATTTATGGCAAACATTTCCACTATCCATCTCTCTCATCATTTTGCCGTAAAATTAAGAACATACCAAGAGCATGTACGAATAAAAAAACTGAGTAAAATGGGTTAGCAAAAATCGGGTTACTTGAGGTTTTTTTTTGTACGAAACTAACAAGTATTGTACCATTTTACAATTCTAATTAAATGCGCTAACTTTTCATGGCACGTGTCAAGGTATTAAAGTAGATTTTTTTAAAGGAAGGCCTCTCAATGTTGACAAATTTTGATTATTTTAAATTCATGGTTTAATAAAAAGTCTTAATTCTAGAAAACTTGTGGCAATAAATTTTGACTGTGGTTCTAGAAATGTTATTTAGGGTTACGGTTCTAAAATTTAAATGAACAAAAATAATAAATATTAACCACAATAACCGAAAAACAGTTTGACCAAATTTCTAGGTTTTTCTTAAATGCCGTTAATTTTCTAACTGCATGCGATGGATTTTTTTCTGATTCTTCTCATGATGGTTACAATCAATCCTGTCACCCCGTCTCTGCTTCATCTTGAGTTCTGGGACTCCCTGTACGCATCGGTTTCACTTGGTACCTCGTACACCTTTCAGGTGATAGCTGAAGAGCTCCACACAAACCCTCGTCTGTCATCTAAAGCTAGTGTGACAATCACACTAACAGATGTTAATGATAATGCCCCTGAGTTCGCTGAAGAACCGTACTCGGCCAGCGTGGCTGAGAATGCGCCTGAAGGGACCAGAGTTGCTGTTCTAAGAGCAACCGATAGGGATACTGGCAGGTAATATATTTTTGTAACTCATTATAATAAGGTTGAGTTATTTAATGTAACTTATTTTATTATTAATGTGTATAAGCCCTCTCTTCTAGATTGTCTGTTAGTAATTGCTTATATGTATATATAATATACCTAATATTAAATTATATATTTAAGGCCATCTTATATATATAATATATTATTATATATATAAGATGGCCTTTTCTTATTAGTTTTCTATTTACTGTTTTCTTATTTGTTTCTTCTGTGTACACAATAAAGTGGTAGTGATATATCCGCAAAAAAAATTGGTTTGTTATTAAAATTGTTATTAATTCTACAATTATTAATTGTTTTTCATCAATATGTAGAAAAAAGCACTGGTTCTAATATACTTCCCTGGGGAACACCTGTATCATTACGTTAAAAAGTCTATTTATATAATACTGTTTAATATAGTTTTCTGCGGCTGTATGTATGTATGTATATATAATGCATTATAAACATGACAGTCTCTAGCGGTTTCATACACCGCCTTACTTCCGATGGTCGAGGTTTGATTCGCTAAAAGCTATTCGTTAAAAGACAAATATTTGAATTCACGAATATACTTGTTTGTTTTCTACATATGTATGTATGTATGTACAAAAAACATCTATGTATTTATATCGTTCTAGTACCCATAACACAAGCTCTGCTTATCTTGGGACTAGATGGCGCTGTGTGAATTGTTGTGAAATTATATTTTTATTAACAGATTTGGTACTGAAGGGATAGTCTACGAATTGTCCGGAAACGGCGCTGAGTTGTTTAGAGTGGATAATAGAAGTGGCGTGATAACAGTGGCCGCCTGTCCCACGCCTGGACTACCGCCCTGCCTGGACTACGAGACTAGGAAAGACTACTTTTTACAAATGAAGGTAAATTGCACGAACTGTCGAGGTTTCCTTTAGAGACTAGACTTGTAATATTTCTGTCAACACTCGGCACCCTTCTAAATATTTACGTCGCCACAAAACTTAGATTTATGTAATATTTCTGTCAATACTCGGCACCCTTCCTAATATTTACGTCGCCACAAAACTTAGATTTATGTAATATTTCTGTCAACACTCGGCACCCTTCTAAATATTTACGTCGCCACAAAACTTAGATTTATGTAATATTTCTGTCTACACTCGGCACCCTTCCATATGTTTACGTCTCCACAAAACTTAGATTTAAGTTAAGTGTAAGCCCGTGTAAGTACGTGTTACTAGTAAGCCATGTACTCTCTGGATGTAGAGGATTGTTTTTTTTTATTGTGGATCATTATGAATTGGTGCATCCACCTGCGCTAACGGTTTACGCTGCCGGGGCACCAGTGGAGGATAAGATGTATATGAGGTTAGGTCAGTTAGCCCATCGTGACAAATTCACTAGGAATTTATCACGATGGTTTCCAGGAGGAACCGCGTGGAGGTCGACCTAACATGGTATAATGCTAGCAATGGGAATTACTAGTTCCCATTACCATCAATCCCCTTCCCTTAGGAAGAGAATATGAGGCAAGGAACACCAATATCCTAAATATGAGGAGAGGTCAGGTCAGTTAACCAAATCGTGGTAACCGTGAAGGTTAGATAGTAAATCTTCTAAATAAATCATCTGTTAAATCATATTCAAATATCATTTATTCATATATGTTAGGGTTCACATCGATATTGTCGAAAAATCTGATATTTTATATTAAAAGAAGGTAGTTTCATTATTACTCGGTATCGTTAAACTAGTTGCATATAACCCCCACTCATATCTTCTCTGTATAAAAGGGAGGGTTTTTGTAGGCCGCGGCACCCCTCTGATCGATCCCCCGTCCAATTCAAACGGGGATCGAAATTACGACGGCCTGAGCCGAGGTTCGAACCCCTAGTGGTGCCCTCAGACTAAAGTCGTATCCGTCGGGCAGGTGTTGGCCTTCAGCCGCTCCATAAGTCCTTCCGCGGGTATGGAGTGCCATCTGCACTCGCCCCATAACGTCCGGTGAAGCTGTAAAGGCCAGCTACGGCCAACAGCATTAGAGTAGTCCGAAAAAAAAGGCCGCGGAATTCGGTCTTTGAGCACAGGATATGCTGGTTGTATTTTAATTGCTAAAATGAATTGTGTTAGAGACATAGTTAAATTAATGTTATATAGTTATTATTTTATTATAATACATACTTTTACTAGTACATAGAGTTGATATATCTAACATATAGGACATTTTAGCTCAGTTTTAGTCAAGTTTTTACATTATAATTTTTTTTCCCTACCGTATTTAATGAGCAAAGCCTAATATATTAATATTGTTGATTAGATTTCATCAGCAATTAGTCATATATATATATAGCAATACTGGAAAGGGCATTGTTAGTAATGTGGACTGATGATCTTATTGCTAGCAATGTACCATGTCAGATCGACCTCCACGCGGTTCCCCCTGGAAACCATCGTGATAAATTCTTGGTGAATTTATCCCGATGGGCTAACTGCCCTGACCTCATGCTCATCTTATCATCTTCCACTGGTGCCCCGTCAGCGTAAACCGTTAGCGCAGGCGGGAGCATCATTCCATTATCATCCACAAAAAAAAATACTGGAATGGGGATTGTTAGTAATGTGGACTGATGATCTTATTGCTAGCAATGTACCATGTCAGGTTGACCTCCACGCGGTCCCCCTGGAAACCATCGTGATAAAGTCTTAGTGAATTTATCACGATGGGCCAACTGACCTGACCTCATGCTCATCTTATCATCCTCCACTGGTGCCCCGCTATCATTCCATTATCATACAAAAAATATATATTAATAATCCTCTTTATCTAATCCTCCTACATATATATAATTCTCTATCGCAGGCGACAGATAACGACGGCAATGGACAGTCGACAGTGATATCCCTTCAGATAGCTGTTACGGATTCCAATGATAACCCGCCGGTGTTCACCACGCCTGTCTACAAGGCTTCCATAGATGAAGATGCTGTCAAGTTCGAACCTGAACTACAGGTATTTCATTCGCTTTAAATTTCATTATATAAATTTCAATACAAGATATAACCTATATGTTATTCTGATGCATACTTAAGCTATATTACTGTAAAGTTACATCAAAATCCGTTTATTAGTTTTTGCGTGAAGCTTTTATTGGCGCAATCACTAACTCTTTTGAAACTGTCTATATTCATTCTGGCATAGATGATATTTTCATAAATGTATTGAGAAGCAACGGTGAGGATATTTGATTCCTTAAAACACTCTCGCAATGACTCCCTGGAACCCATACCATAAATGGAGCGAATGGCCCTCTTTTGTAAAGTAAATATTGTATTTATATCAGCTACAATAAAAAAATATAATATTTATTATATTTGAATACTTTTTTTATTAATATAATTAATGTAAATTACTTGTATTATTTACCAGGTACAAGCGCGTGACGTGGACGTATCATCAGAAATTCATTACTCGATCATCGAACCTGAGACCCATCCATTCTGGATCGATCCACTCAACGGCAGGATACTGGTTCGCTCGGAATCAGGTGTGGTGGCTCCGCCTGGTGACGACAATCATATAATACTTACGGTTTTGGTGAGTTAAATTATATTTTTATTAGAAATAGAAATAATATTTATTCAAATAAACTCAATAGAAGTAGTTTCGAATAGTCACAAGAAGAACGAGTAAGAAACTTGCGGGTTGCTCTATTAAATAAATCTTGTTCTAAGTAAATATACATTAACAAGGATTAGGCATGCGTCAATCAACATAGAAACCACTACGCACTTAATCTTTGTTTAATCGGATAACATTGTCAGCGCTATGAATTTAAACTTAAATTTTTTTCTACAAAATTGATTTGTCGTAAATATTGATTATGGAATTGTTAATTATTGTTTATTTCCATAAATAAATAATCATTATTCAAATAAACTTAATATAAGCACTTTTGAATAGTCACAATTTTTATTCTATCACTCAATCGGAATGCAGACTCATCACAAGAAGAACGAGTAAGAAACTTGTGAGTTGCTCTATTAAATAAATCTTGTTCTAAGTAAATATACATTAACAAGGATTAGGCATGCGTCAATCAACATAGAAACCGTTACGCACTTAATCTTCGTTCAATCAGATAACATTGTCAGCGCTATGAATTTAAACTTAGATTTTTTTCTACAAAATTTATTTGTCGTAAATATTGTTTATGGGAAACTCGTATAGGTTTTTTTTTTCGAAAATATCTATTTATCATTACAGGCTACAGATGGCGTTCATAACGCAACGTGTAAAGTCGAGATTGCTGTCCGAGACGTGAATAACCATGCTCCTGCCTTCGACCTTGTAGAATACGACGCCAATGTCTCCGAAGACGCACCTATTGGTGAGTTTTTTTTTATGTAAACGATGCAAATACCATTCAACTTATTAATATTATAAATGCGAAAGTCTATGAGTATGGATGCATGTTTGTTACTCTTTCACACAGTAACTACTGAACGGGTTTTGTTCAAACTTTATAGTGATACTAGCTGTTCCCCGGGATTTCATCCGCGTGAAATGTTACTTTCATTTTCTAAAATAAAAGTAGCCTAAGTTACTACTCATTACATCAGCTACTTGCCAATAAAAGTCCCGTCAAAATCGGTCCAGCCATTTCAGAGATTAGCCGGAACAAACAGAAAGACAAAAATTGTAAAAAAAATTATTTTGGTGTATGTACGGTATTTATATTCATATGCATGTAGTAAAAAACGGTTATTTCAATATTACAAACAGACACTCCAATTTTATTTATATGTATAGATAGCTTATGCATTGTATATAGGAGACTATGTCTAAATTTAAATTAAAATCCCGTGTGTATACAACTATTGCCATGCACGCTCGTCATTCAAGTAATTTGTTATTTATATTGTATTTTTTACATTGTACTGAATAAAATATTTTTCTGTCTTTCTTTCTTTCTTTCTTTCTTTCTTTCTACTCGTTTAGTGAGTGGCTTTGCTCAGTAAATAAGATTTAACAGATGTTTTGAATTTATTTAAGGGTAATTCCAGTATATCCTTTTGTATCTTATTGTAAATTTTTATACCAATTCCCATAAAATATTATTTATGTTACAATAAAGTATATATTATTAATTTTTTAGGTACGGAAGTGGCAGCGGTTCGAGCCACAGATAAAGACAGTGGTGTGAATGCAGATATAAAGTATACCATACAGAAAGGTGCACTGGACTCGTTTGCTATTGACAACATCACTGGCGTTGTGACAGTCTCATCAATGCTGGATTATGACAAACGGGACACGTTTAAAATACAAATCATCGCTGCTGATATGGGTAAGTCTATCTATACATATATTACAACGCCCTCGGTGGTCTAGCGGTTTACCTTACCGCTTCACTTCCGACGGTCGCGGGTACAATTCCTCTCACGTACCAATATTTGTATTCAGGAGTATGATTGTTTGTATCTGGGTGTTTGTATTTACAAAAAATATGTATGTACTTATAGTTTTTGTTCAACAAACAGAGTACGAACTCAAATGTATATCTGTTTTTTGTTCTGGCAATAGATTATTATATTATTTATATCAGTTGTCTAGTACCCATAACACAAGCTGTACTTAGCGAGACTGAGACTAGGTAGTGCTGTGTGAATTGTCCAGGGATATAACACTGTACAAAGCAAGAGTAGATAGACCGTCTAACGGCTGTTATAAATCAGTTGGGAATTAATGCTTCCAATACAAATAAATTAAACTAATACATTAAAACAAAACCCGAAAACAAACAGCTGTACAAAATTTACCTCAGTAGGAATAGAATAGAATAAGAATAGAAAATCCTTTATTCAAATAAACTTAATTTAAACACTTATTCTGTAAATACAAATTATACTTTAAATACTATAAAATGGTTTGATTACGTGGTTATCGGCATATAATAAGTTATTTATTTATTTATTTATTATTTATCTGGCTTTATTTCTTATTATTATTTCCTCCTTTTTTTTTATCGAATATGTAATATTATGTTAAGTAGTATGTATGATTTTGTGCTGTGTAAAAGTAAATGTTAATAAATGAAATAATATGCACCCTGGGAAGGTATGTGACATCTGAGATACAGTATAATTTTATACTAGTTCAGATGGCACAATTACACTTGTATGTTAAAATTATTGACTCTTATGTACAACTTAATTATGTAACACAACCTTTAACTGCAATAAATATTATTATTATTATTATTATTACATATATATATATATATATTTATTATATCTCCCTTTTTACGGGGATAATATATTCGCGGGCCTTAGCCAAGCATGGATGAGTTATGTGATGATTATTATTATTATTATAATTTACTTTTAATTAGTCATAACAATTTTTTTAATCTACCGCTCATTCGGAAAGCTGTCTCATCACAAGAAGAACGAGCAAGAAACTTGTGTGTTGCTCTTTTAAATAATCCTTGTAAGTTCACATTTTACAAGTCGAAACAAATAGGGAAAATTAATTTAAAATCCTTATCCATTCCTGCAGGTATGCCTAGTCTTACCGGCACCACAGAACTTACAGTCCACATATTAAACGTCAACGACAAGAAACCTTACTTTACCCCGAGTATCCAGCGGGCGGAGGTGTCAGCTGACGCGGAGCAGGGCACCCTGGTGCACCACCTCCTCGCTGTGGACCCTGATATAACTGACGATGGACAGCTGGTGTTCGAACAGGCTGCAGATAAGCTTATAAAAGCTGTCGATAAAAACGGCAAAGAGGTTAGTATTTATTCAAAGTAAAAAATCATTTATTCATATAGGAATAGAATAGAAAATCATTTATTCAAATAAACTTAACTTCACTTTTGAATAGACATAACAATTTGTTTTTTATCTACCACTCGTTCGGAAAGCTGTCTCATCACAAGAAGAACGAGCAAGAAACTTGTGTGTTGCTCTTTTAAATATACTTAACTTGGGTCTAGATGTCTGTGTGAATTGTCCTGAGATTATTATTATTATTAATTCGCTACCATATCTCACCATTCAAATAGCTTATGTATACACATATAGACATATTAGCCGCTTATGAACGTAATTTTTTTTTTTACATTACATTTTAAAAAAATTTCCTACCGTCCAGTTCAGTATATATTGTTTGTATACACCTAGCGTTTGAACTTAGCTGCCATAATAACTTTAATGCCCCAATTGTGAGAGAAATTATAGGACTTGTCACTGATTGGGTTTAAATACATCGGTGGAGCATGAAACTGAGGATTCAAAAACTATTGGATGCTCCACTTTTTCTCTTTCAGCATATATTGGTACACTGCTGGACGTATGCCTCTTGCATAATTTTGCACTTAGTTCTATCTGTGGCGCATCTTGTTCAGGTCAACCCTGCCGTCTTCCTGACGTCATCAGACCATCCCGGATGCTCTCCAGATGGGGCTATAGTGTCAGAGTCCAATAATTAGCTCCTTGGCAGTTTAATTCAAACGGGGATCGAAATTACGACGGCCGTAGCCGAGGTTCGAACCCCTAGCGGTGCCCTGACTAAAGTCATATCCGTCAGGCGGGAGTTGGTCTACAGCCGCTCCTTAAGTTCTTCCGTGGGCGGCAACTAGTTTGAATAAACATTCTTTCTTTCCTGTTCTATCGTCAGGTGTCAGAAGAAGGTATCTTCGGGTCGTGGTTCTCAGTTAACTACAACGGCACTGTTACCGTCTCCCAGCACTTGGATCGCGAGAGGGCTGCAGTGTTGACTCTACCCGTCAGGGTCACTGATGCATCAGCTCCTACCCTGCAGCAGACTGATGGTGAGAGACTTACAAAATTTGCAGTAATAAGTACTAGGATAGTAGGAGACTGTAGGAAGTTATTTTTTTTTATTATGTATGATAATGTAAAGGTACACCCGCCGCATGTATTTTTGTAAATTGTTCCTTTAACATAATAACTTTCAAATGAAAATTATGATGAGAATAATAATTATAGTGGGAATAAGAATGAACATGAGAATGAGAATCTAAAATTCTGAATGGGAATGAGATCGAGAATGAAAATAATTTACTTTTACTTTTGACTGAGAATAATAATTATAATAAGAATGAGAATCTAAAATCTGAATGGGAATGAGAACGAGAATGAAAATAATTCACTTTTACTTTTGACTGAGAATAATAATTATAATAAGAATGAAAATCTGAATGGAAATTAGAATAACAACGAGAATGAGCATCTGAATGAGAATGAGAACGAGAATGAAAATAATTAACATTTTTACTTTGAACTGCAAAAGCAACAACGCTTTTGCAGTTCAAATTCTGTCAGATTAACTTATCTTACTATAATAACTATATTAATATTAATCATTAATATTAATACTAATAACTTATATTAATAAACTTGTCGCCCAGTAACATACATGAATAAAGTTAATTTAATGTTTTAACATTTCTAGGTGAATTAATAATCACAATAGTGGATGTGAACCGTCACGCGCCCACCTTCACTCAGCCGGCGTACGTGGAGAGACTAGTGGAGGAGCAGCCAGTTGGTACCGTCCTCAATACGTACACAGCCACTGATAAGGAGACTCCGATATCAGCTATACTGATTCAGCCATCCAGTCCGTACTTTGAAATAGATAATATTACAGGTACGTCATCTTAAGTTATTAGTGTTTATCTTACTAATATTATAAACGCGAAAATCGAGTGAGTGTGGATGGATGGATGTTTGTTACTCTTTCACGCAAAAACTACTAAAGTAAGTAATTAATTCCAGTCAGTAAAATGACATTTCCAGTGTTGCAGGTTTTTAGTCCCAAATAAATAGTGATGTGGTAGAATCGAGTTTTAACAATTAAAAGTTAGTCGAGATTAGTTTTTTTTTTATTCAATATCAAATTGCCTTTAGGGGCCGTTCAAGTATTACGTAAGCACTATAGAGGGGCGGGGGGTCTTTTCTTTGCTTATTTTGGATGACATGGGGGTGGGGTAGTCTGTATGATGATTACGTCATCGGTCGTAATTTACTTTTTTACACGAATGGCAACCCTCACATTGTCTTTGCTAAAAAAACAATACATTAATTGAGAGATGTTTACGTAAGCATGGGTGGAGGGGGTAAGAGCTTTGCTTACTTTTGCTGACAACGGGGGATGGGGGGTAAATAATTGTGATAAATCTGCTTACGTAATACTTGAACAGCCCCTTATATAAATAAAAATTCTAGTATTAATTTCTCTGAATCTCCTTTTACATTTTTTCCCAGCTTTTGTAATAATGTTGTAGTGAGAAATTTTAATATGCTGGTAAGGTCCATATTCTAAAATTGTATTATTTAATACGATATGTATTAAATATTAAAAATTAAAAAAAAAAAGGTTTTGATACCTAATAAAATGAAGCATGACTAAATGTCTAAGTCTATTGATTGCTGAACATCACAATTGTAGCGGGTCACCCTTTTTTGTATCAGTGACAGTTGCACTTGTCATTTTACTGACTGGAATTAATAATCGTACTTTAATTAGATTAAAAAAAACTTCACAATAATATAACTTATATAAGCTATACTGTAAATTACATCTAAATCCGTTCAATAGTTTTTACTTGAAAGAGTAACAAACATCCATCCATATTCACAAACAAACAAATACCATACTAACTGTACCCGTGACTTCATCCGCGTGGAATTTAACATTATTTTTCTAAAATAAAAGTAGTCTAAGTTACTCCTTATTACATCAGCTTCCTGCCAATAAAAGTCCCGTCAAAATCTGTCCATCCATTTCAGAGATTAGCCGCAACAAACAGACAGACAGTAAAAAATATTATTTTGGTGTATGTACCGTATTTATATTCCTATGCATGTAGTAAAAAACAGTTATTTCAATATTACAAACAGACACTCCAATTTTATTTATATGTATAGATTAGTAAGATAACTGTGAGCATGTTTGCAAATACAGGTGTAGTGAAATCGACACAACGAATCGATTACGAAACGATCCATAATATAAATTTCACGCTGGTCGCCATCGACTCCGGAGTCCCGCAGTTGTCTACCACCGCTCTGGTGACCGTCGAAGTGGTCAACATTAACGATGAGGAGCCAGTGTTCGCCGCGGAAGCATATGACGCTACCGTCCCGGAGCACAGCCCCCCTGGGACTAGGGTGGTCACAGTCAATGCTGTCGATAAAGATGAAGGTAAGTAAACATAGTTTTTATTGGACTAGCTGTACTCGCATAAAATAGTAATCTTGACCAAATAATTAAATATTTTTTAATAAGCTAACCCAAAAAGCCAAAGATAAGACTTTCATCGACCTAGCTTTGTAAATGACGTATTTCCATACCGACTTTCATCATCATCATCATCATCGCAGCCCGGAAGACGTCCACTGCTGGACATAGGCCTCCCCCAAAGATCTCCGACTTTCATATCCTATTTTATTTTAAGGATACAATTTTAACAATTTCTGAATGCTATATTTATTTATATTTAATCAATAACCTAAAAAATAAATTTCTAGCTTCTAGCTTTAAAAATGACGATTTTTGCATACTACCTTGCATCTTCCCTTTCAACCCCTCTTTTGCATTAAAAATTAGCCTATGTCCTTTCTCAGCATCTATACTATCTGTGTACCAAATTTCATTTAAATCGGTTAAGTAGTTTTGGCGTGAAAGCGAGAGCGACAGACAGACAGAGGTATATAGGGTAATATTAGGTAAGGATAACCTAGTGTTTCCCAACCTTTTTAGTGCTATGGGGCATGCCTTACTTTAGCTTTTCCAAATTTCTATTATTATTCAGGACTATTATTATTATTACTGCTGTTCTTTTTCTCAACTTTTTTGTTTGTTACACTTTGTGGCGTATACTAAACATTACGGGCCGAACCGCACGGCCGTGCGTGCTTGTGTTCATGTGTGCGTGCGTGCTTGTGTGTGTGTACGTTGTGTGCATCTAAATCCAATTTGTTACTACTTGATTAATGCGCTTATTTAAAATATATATATTATTACTATAGGAGTATTCGGCGATGTAACGTACAGCCTCTCCGGTGATTTGTCATCATTGTTCACCATCAACTCGACCAGCGGTGTGGTGACCGTAGCAGAGGACGCTGTGATTGACCGCGAGAACACCACGGACATCTGGCTGAGGGCTGTCGCGAGTGATAGTGCGCCGGCGCAAGTCAGGAAATCTACTAGTGTACCGGTATGTAGAAAATTCGTAAAAGAAAGATAAACTTCTCGTATTTTGCCATACGCCACCAATAAGTAGCAAATTCATGGAAGAAATCCTACTCAATTTTGCCATAAGCAGTCTATACAAGTAAATAAAATTGTAGTGTCTGTTTGTAATTTTATATTAACAGCTTTTTACTAAATGCATATGTAAGTATATACGCTACTTATAAAAAAAATATTAAAAAAATTTTTTGTCTGCCTGTTTGTTTGTTCTTGCTAATTATTGAAACAGCGAAATCGATTTTGACGGGACTTTCACTCGCAGATAGCTAATGTTTTATGGAGTATCTTGGATGATTTCAGTTTAGAAATTTTATTAATTTTAAATAAAAAAAAGTTAACTTCAGCAACTGAGCAAAATTTAAAAAAAAGTTGTGAAACACTCTTAACAGTACAGTTAATTTTTATCTACAGATCAACTAATTTGTCTTGAAAAACATATGTATATAATTTTATATCAATCTATATATATATTTACCTCTTTACAATTCTAGATCCACATAAAAGTACTGGACATCAATGATAATCCACCAGTCTTCAGTCAGAAGGTATATAAAAGTACAATAGCTGAAAACCTTCGTTTGGACCCCCCAGCTGCCATACTGCAAGTGTTAGCAGAGGATAAGGACGAAGGTGTCAATGGAAGAGTGGAATATAAGATTGTAGAGCAGAGTGAGACAGGTAAGATACACATACATAGTAGCTGTCCCTGCAAATGTTGTTTTGCCATTTAAATTAACTAGTTGACACCGCAGACTGATTTGCTATGTTCAGGCGCAGTTGCACTAATTTGTGGCCCAAATATTATATTTTATATAGCAACACTGCATCGTCAGATTTCAGCGGGCCAGAGACAAAATTACGACGGTTACAGTTCATATTCTAAATTCGCTAACAATCATATACGCATTATCACATTCAACCACTGTAAACCAATTTTCAAGTAATTAAAAAACTAGCCAGGAATCTTCGAGTTTGATTACACCATCAAGAGCCTCTTCTCGTTAAAAGGCGTAAACAGCCATATTAATTAAAATCGCTATTAAAAATAGGGGTTGATACTAGAAGGGTGAAAATTTAAATAATAAATCTTGTTTAAAAAAAAAGTTACCCCTTCTCACTTAAGGGTAAAAATAGATAGTCGCTGATTCTCAGTCCTACTGATTATGCGTATAAAATTTCATAAAAATCGGTTATTTCTATTTGTCCGTACATCATCAGTTACATCCTTCTATACCCAACACCTATTTTTAATAGCGATTTTAATTTATATGGCAAAACAACATTTGCGGGTTTAATATTAATTTTAGACATTATCAACCCTTAATATTTTCCGCAGGAACATTCTCCGTTGATCCCACAAGTGGTATAATATACCCAGCTCAACCAGTCAGAGGCAACACCTCTTACCACCTGACGGTGACAGCTACAGACGAGGGTGGGAACGGAATCCATTTTGATACAGCAAGAGTAGACATCACCGTACTCAGTGTTAACAAACATAGCCCAGTGTTCGTGGAACCACCTGCAGAGCAACGGCAGTTGGAAATACCTGAGGTCAGTCATTATAGTATTTTTTGTTCGTCGATTGAGAAAACACCTACTGAACCTAGATAGGCATAACCTGAAAATAATGATAGGGACAATAACGGACCACTGTCCCTTAAACACCTGTACACAATATGTGCTACCAACAGTCCCCTTTGTCGGGGCTGCTTTGAAGCCGAACGGCTGCTCACGTAATCCTGGAGTGTGTAGCAGTGACCATACAAAAAAAACAAATCCTCGGAACCGTGAGTAAGCCTGTGAAGACAGCAGGTGACTTCTGCGCTTTTGGAAGGATCTTGGATGGCTAGTCTCGGCTCTACACGTACAACGGTCCATATAAAAGTGGAGTGGGGGAGGGGGGCGCGGGGAGGGGGGGGGGGGGTTTAAAATAGAAGATAGCTCAGTTCTTTAATAACAGTTTATAGCTGGGGCGATCTCTTGAAAGCTTGACTCCACAATAACTGATGCAGAAGCTTGACTACACTCACCAGTATACAGGAATTTATTTTTCACTCCCTAAGGGCTAGCACAAACTGTTATTAATAATTTAATTTAGTAGTTCCAGTTGAATCACTGCCGCCATTATTGCATCTCGGTACAAAGTAGTTTCGTTTCGTCTTGACAGCGCCTGAGACGTGTAGCGCCGCTATGAGTCGATGAGGGATCAAGTTTCTTGTATCGGCACGTAGATGGCACCGCTAGTAGCCAAGTTAGGATAATTGAGTGTATGTATATAAAAGCCAGTATATGTATATTTTGTTTTTTTTTATAGAACTGTACTGTAAATATCACATTATCATTGTACATCCGTGATACCACTTATACGCTAAAATATATATCTATATAGGCAAATGTTAATCTTTCATGAGGATTTTAAACCTTATTAATATAAATCATTATAATTATTTTAGAATGCAGCACAAGCAGACTACCTGATCACAACAATAAAGGCAACAGACGAAGATGATGGGGAAAATGGACGTGTCTCATACTACCTAAAGGTGGACAATCAGAATGTAGGGGAGACGCAGGAGTTTAGCCTGGACAGTGACTCTGGAGAGCTCAGGACTAAGACCTTCTTGGATAGAGAACATAAGTCTGAATATCAGGTTAGTAATGTTATTATCATATATTTGTTAGATTAATCCGAAGCTGGAGATAACTTGAGAAGTGGGGAGCATGCACATGTAATCCTTGAATATAGTATAGAATAGAAAGTTCTATAAACTTTTAAGCACTTTTGAATAGCATTTTTTTATCTATCTATTTTTAATCTACCGCTTATCCGGAAGCAGTCTCATCCGAAGAAGAACGTTCAAAGAAACTTGTGTGTTGCTCTTTTAAATAATTTAGTAACTTACTCCACTTAATTGAAATTAGAATATAGATATATTCTATTATTTCATACAGTACAGAAAAAGCATAAACATATAATGGGCGACGGTAATCACTTACCATCAGGTTAACCGCAAGCTCACTTGTCCCCTATACTATAAAACATTTGTAATGTGGACTGATGACCCCATTGCTAGCAATGTACTACGTCAGGTTGACCTCCACGTGGTTCCCCCTGGAAACCATCGTGATAAATTCCTGGTGAATTTGTTACGATGGGCTAACTGACCTGACCTCATGCTCATCTTATCATCCCCCACTGGGGCCCCGCCAGCGTAAACCGTCAGCGCAGGCGGGTGCACCTTTCCATTAACATCCATAAAAAAATTACCCGTCAGGGACAAGAATTGAAGGATATTCTCAGTAGCGATGGCTTTTATCTCTTCAGGATAGAGTGTAAACTTTCCAATGGAAATATTACCTCATCCCACCAGTCGAAAATGATCTCGACTGGTGCCCCGGCAGCGTAAACCGTCAGCGCAGGCAGGTGTACCATTCCATTATCATCAATAAAAAAAAACACAAAGTCTTCTGATATCTCCGGATTCGCTCTCAAAAATTAACTGTTACCTCTTATTATTATTTTACTTACATAAGATAATTTCTTTTTAGCTGGTAATAGTTGCAGTGGATAATGGTACTCCTGCGCAATTTGAGAGCCTGCGTCTGCTGACTGTGGTGTTGGCGGATGATAACGACAACATTCCAAGGTTCCAACACGCGCAGCACAACTTCAGCATCAGGGAGAACTTGCCACCTGGTGTTATTATTGGTAAGCTAGAAGTAACTAGCTGTTCATATGCATATTCACTTCTAATCAATTTTTTAAGTAACTATACTGTTCTTCTCGGCTTCGTTTGCTGTTTTGAAGAAGAAATCGTTTATCTGTCCTCGTGTTAAGAAGCCCAAGAAGGGTTGACATCAGGCAGGGGGCCGGTCATAAAACTGAAGCCAAAACCATTCTCTCGTAATATGAATGATGATAGGATTAATATATAGACGGCGTCGATGGTCTAGCGGTTTAGTATACCGCTTTACTTCCGATATTCGCGGGTTCAAATCCTCGCACGGTGCAAACATTTGTATTCATGGGTATGATTGTTTGTATCGGTATAGGTGTTTTCTATGTATATAATGTGTGTATGTACAAAACAAAAGTATCTAAGTGTTTATATCAATTGTTTAGTACCAATAATATAAGTCCTGCTTACCGTGGGACTAGATGGCGCTGTGTAATTAACACAGCGCCATCTAGTCCACAGTTATTTATTAATTTATATATGTGGAATTATTTTATAATGACATCGCATTGAAATAACAAATACTTCACACAAGCGGACGTCATACAAAGTATTTTGTATAAGAAATAAAAATTACATTATTTATTTTTATAGGATCCGTCAAAGCCACTGACAAAGACTCTGGAGAAAATGGCAAAGTGTACTACCATGTACTGGATGGTAATGAAGATGGCGCGTTCACAGTGGACAGAACGCAAGGCGTCATTCGAGCTAACATAAGTTTTGACAGGTAAGATGAAACTACCTTCACAATTTTATCCGGTGAGATAGGACCAAAAAATAAAAAACAATTAAATTCAAGTTTTAACGAGGTACATTTTATACGTTGACATGATGATGTTATGACGATTATTTGGTTTATTTGGTACATGCTTCATGTATGTAGGGCACTGTTACTAACGGCATACGCTGGCGGAGTACCAGTGGAGGAAGATAGGATGAACATGAGTTCAGGTCAGTTAGTCTGTGGTGTATAGTGCATCAACCATATATGTTTTTTTACGCTTCAACATATCTGATGGCAAGGATTTAGACTGGCTCCCTGGTAGCCCCAGCACCGGCCCACATAGTAGCATCGGAATTTATCATGATGGTTTCCAGGGGGAACAGCGTGTATATCGACTTGACATAGAACGTTGCTAGCAACGTGGTACTAGTGCCCATTACTAACAATCCCCCTTCCCACCCTGTTTCGGACTGACTTTTTAGCGATGATAATGTAATGGTGCACCCATCTGCACTAACGGTTTACGCTCGCGAGACATCAGTGGAGATGATAAGATGAACTTGAGGTCAGATCAATTAAGACCATGGCAATGAAATGACTTGGATATTCTATTCTTTTCTATTCTACATAGAACATTGCTAGTAACGGAGTCCTAATGCCCATTGGAACAGGGCACCAGTGAGAGATGATGTCAGATCAGTAAGCAACAAATTCACCATGAATTTATCATGATAGTTTCCAGGGAAATCCGCGTGTAGGTTGATCTAACATGGTACATTAGCAATGCGATCATTAGTCCACATTAGTGACAATCCCCTTTCTTCCCTAGGCGACTGTTGCACTCGGCAATAAGTATGTATTTACTAATTTCTAGGGAGAAGAAATCTGATTATGCCTTAACTATATACGCAAGCAACAATCCTCTACTAGAGCACAGTGTGGCCATATTCAATTCGCTGGAAAATACCACAGAAACAATGAATAGCGTGACCAATGTCAGTGTGAAGGTGTTGGACCAGAATGATAACGAGCCTAAGTTCGAGCAGAAGGTTTACTATGCTGGTAAGAATAGAATAGAAAATCATTTATTCAAATAAACTTACATCGAAGCACTTATGAATAGTCATTACATTTTTTAATCTACCGCTCGTTCGGAAAGCTGTCTCATCACAAGAAGAATGAGCAAGAAACTTGCGTGTTGCTCTTTTAAATAATTTTATTATTACTTTACATTTTTAAGTTTAAGTGTGTGAATACAAACCACCAATTAGCACTAATTCAATTAAATACTGAAATAGAAAAAATATTGAATATATAACCAACTGGTTAAACAATTAATAAGAGGAAATCAGTCATAGTGATTAGAGCAGACCAGTCCCTACAAGCAGCACCCGTTCCCGAGTATGACGGATGAGCCAGCCATCACTGCGTTCGACCATATTTTAGGGAGCCCAATGACCCGGCCCACCACGCCGCCACAAGTCTGGACATTTTAGTGAGCATGACTACTCAAAACACTAGAGCACGTCAAAGCTACTTACAATTGCCATCTGATAGTTATTGTATTCACATTTTACATAAGAATGCATGCGGCAATCAATACAAAAACCGCTACGCTTTCATATTTCTAAAATCAATCAATTAAATCAAGAAAGCAATGGTAAGTAGTAATTTCCTACACTAACCTCTGCTCTCAGAGGCGTCAAATGTTTACTTAAGTAGTTCCTTAGTGTAGATTTAAAAAATGTCCTATTGTCCTAACAATTAACTTTAATGACAGGCCAACGGCTCATGAATATAAATATTTATACCGTGCGAGGAATACAACCCGCGACCTTCGGAAGTAAGGCGGTATTCTAAACTGCTAGACTACAGAGTTCGTCAAATACTACCCACATAATTTTACAAATTGTAAAATAACTCAATAATTGTTTGTTTAAAGTAATAGGATAATCATTAAATTTGTGTCATTAGGTGTAAAGCACACAGCGCGCATCAACGAACCAATCATATCTGTGATGGCTGAAGACCCAGACTTGGATGAGAACGGTACCCTCATATACATCGTGGCTGCCTCAAACCTATACAAATTCGGGGCTTCTAAATCTAGCGGCAGTGTGGTACCATCACCGTTCAATATAAGTCAAGAAGGTAAGATATGTTTAGTGAATGATGATTTTGGCAATTCCGACTATGTTATCTATTTTTTTTTATACTATGATGGTGGCAATCAAGCATACGGCCCATCTGATGGTAAACGGTTACCGTAGCCTATGAACGCCTGAAACACCAGGGATATCACGTGCGCGTTGCCGACCCTTAAGAAACCTTAATATACCCTTCTTGAAAAACACCATGCTGTAGTCTCGTGGGAAACCTCGGCAGGAAGTTCATTCCACAATCTAAGTGTACGCGGGAGGAAACTCCTCTGAAACCGCACTGTTCTGGACCACTTAGGTTCCAGCGTGTGGGGATGAATTCCCTGTCGATGGCGAGTGGTGGTAAAAGGTGGCTGTAGGCATTATGTCGAACAATTCCTCAGAACACAGTACGTTGTATAGTCGGTAGAACACACGACGACGACCTCTATATAATATGGGCCAATTATGGGCATAAATTCATTTAATACAGGATACTATTGGCCCATATTATAAACCTCCTATTACATGAAATAATGATCCTTACTTATATTATATTATAAATGCGAAAGTAACTCTATCTGTCTCGCGTTCACGTCAAAACTACTTAACCGATTTAAATGAAATTTGGTACACTGATAGTCTCGACCGTAAGAAAGGACATAGACTACATTTTAATGCAAAGTAAGGGTTTCAAGAGACTGAAAGGGGAGTTGAAAGTTTCTATGGAAATATCGTCATTTTTTAAGCTAGAACCTTGAAAATTATTTCTTATGCTGTTGATTGAATGTAAATAGGACATTCAAATTTTATATAAATTTTTATAAATATAAATTGTCTCTGGTCACGGCACTTATGGTAACCTGCCACGGCAAGCCGATACACCATTCCCTTCGGCCAGTCTTTCATGAAGGTGGGCAGCATGATGGAAATTTAAGGAATGGAAATCTATAAATACAAACAAATGCTACAGGTGTCCTCATGACGGCTCACTACATGTCGGAGTACAATCAGGATCGGTTCGTGCTGGACATCATTGCGCAGGAGCTCGCGCCACCACACCGACAGGCTAAAGCACAAGTATTTGTGAGTTTATTTTTCATATAACTAAAATTTAAAACAAAATAACGGCCTTGTTGGTGGTATGTGGGAGGCTGCAGTATAAACACATAAACACTACGTGTCCGTATGGCATGTCATGCTATGTCTTGGAGGACAAAGTTATTATGTCTCCATATCCTTTCTGTCTGACTATCTTACCATACACTTCAATCAAAAAATATATTACAAAGCAAGTTCTTAATACTAATAATAATCTCAAGACAATTCACACAGCGCCATCTAGACTAAGCTAGCTGAAGCTTGTGTTATGGGTACTAGATAACCGATACCAATACATAGATAATTTTTTTGTTCGTAAATACATACGTACTATACATAGAAAACACCCAGACCAACACAATCATACTTATGAATACAAATGTTTGTGCCGTGCGAGGAATCGAATTCGTGACTATGGGACACAGTCACCTAGATACAGCAAAATAATAATTGCATTTAATAATGTCTAGTAAGACAAATTCAATATTGTCTACTAGGCACTGCTGTGTCTAAACTGTGTCACCCCACCTTACATTTTCCTATTGTTATTTAGTATATAAGATCATTATTTCTATGTACATATTGTCAGTTTATCATCATCTGTAATATACATCGTCTCGACCAACAACATCTTATTATTTACCCGCAACAGTGACCATCGGACGTAAAGCGGTGTGCTAATCGCTAGACCACCGAGGTTGTTGGCTAGCTACTAAAGCTACTCAGTTACTAAAATAGATAAAACAGTGGTATCAACATAAACCATTTTTATAATTACTCCATATAGTATCCTGTAAAAAGGTTTTTGTTCTCTGCATTTATTTGCATTTACCGAGCCACGTTATTTGTGAATGTTATAGAAATAGAAATTGAAATAATCTTTATTCAAGTAAACTCATTACAAGCACTTTTGAATAGTCATATTTTGATTCTACCACTCATTCGGAATGCAGATTCATCACAAGAAGAATGAGCAAGAAACTTGTGTGTTGCTCTTTATAATAGATGTTTTTTTTTTATATAAATAATTAAAGATAACAAGTAAGAGGCATGCGATAATCAACATAGAAGTCGCTACGCACTCATTATTAATGTAATCAGATAATATTGTCAGTGCTATAGATTTAAAGTTTTTCTATAAAAACATTATTATCGTTAACGAATTCTTCAATTTTATAGTAAGCTTTTTTGCAAAGGAACTGTTTTATTTGACATTTAAATCTTTTTTCTGGCAGATTTATAACAGACTCTGGTATTTTATTGTAAAACCTTACGCAATTGCCATAAAACGAATTACTAACTTTAGCCAAACGACATTTAGGTAAAATCAGTTTGTTATTGTTACGTAAGCTTTTATTAGTGCATCACTAACTTTTTTGAAACTGTCTATATTCCTTCTGGCATAGATGATATTTTCATAAATGTATTGAGAAGCAACGGTATAGGCTATGTAACATCACGCTAGGATCAATAAGACAGTCTGATAAACCACAAGACGACCGAAATGTTCATATGTGAATTAAATGACCCGTACACGAGCCGCTCGTCTTCCGTATTACAAGCGACCGGTTATAATCTGTGAACTAAGATTCTCTACGCTTTCCGTTTACTACAAGCGACTATTTTACTATTATGTGAACTAAGGTCATCTCTTGTACACTCGCCGTTGCTTCACAAGTACATTTCCATAACTTTAATGTATGTCAGGAGAATAAAAACATTTTAATTTTCGACACGAGTGTAATGGGATCGTAATTACCACAATTATCACAATAATAAAAAACAATATGTATAGTAATGTAAACAGATCAAAAGCCGCCAACCAATAATCAATATTACAACGCGTCATTAACTACAAAACGAAACAATATCGCATTGTAGAAATTGAACCGCGCCATCTAGTGACAACTATGTAAACTAACTTTACAAAAGACGATTAAACATCTCTAGTGAAACCGGTTACACGATCGCATGGTGGTGTCCGATCAGCGCGTCGCTCGGCGCCGCGCGCGCTGCTCGTGCCCGCGCGCCGCCTGCCGCTAGTACGACACGTGTATTTATGTGGTCAACCGCACTACGGCGGCGCGCGCGCTCTAGTGCCCGCGCGCCGCCTGTGGCACGCCGACACGCGCTACGACGACTGGTCATCTCAGCACTACGACGACTGGTCATCCGCACGTCCGCAGCGCGCCGCCTGGGTGATACGACGACGGTCGTCGCTGATCCGCATGGTGGTGCGCGCCGCCTGCCGCTCGCCGACACGCGCTACGACGACTGGTCGGCGCGACTGGTCGTATCTCAGCACTACGGCGGCCGCGCGCGCTGCTCGCGCGCGCCGCCTCCGCTAGGCACGCCGCGCGCGACGACTGGTCAGTATCTCAGCACTACGACGACTGGTCGCGCGCCGCGCGCGCTGCTCGTGCCCGCGCGCCGCCTGCCGCTAGTGCACGCCGACACGCGCTACGACGACTGGTCAGTATCTCAGCACTACGACGACTGGTCAGTATCTCAGCACTACGGCGGCCGCGCGCGCTGCTCGTGCCCGCGCGCCGCCTGCCGCTAGTGCACGCCGACACGCGCTACGACGACTGGTCAGTATCTCAGCACTACGACGACTGGTCAGTATCTCAGCACTACGGCGGCCGCGCGGGTTATCTCAGCACTACGGCGGCCGCGCGCGCTGCTCGGGCCCGCGCGCCGCCTGCCGCTAGTGCACGCCGACACGCGCTACGACGACTGGTCAGTATCTCAGCACTACGACGACTGGTCAGTATCTCAGCACTACGGCGGCCGCGCGCGCGCGCGCCGCTCGTGCCCGCGCGCCGCCTGCCGCTAGTGCACGCCGACACGCGCTTCGACGACTGGTCAGTATCTCAGCACTACGACGACTGGTCAGTATCTCAGCACTACGGCGGCCGCGCGCGCTCGTGCCCGCGCGCCGCGCGCCGCCTGCCGCTGGTCAGTGCACGACACGCGCTGGTCAGTATCTCAGCACTACGACGACTGGTCAGTATCTCAGCACTACGCGCCGCGCGCGCTGCTCGTGCCCGCGCGCCGCCTGCCGCTAGTGCACGCCGACACGCGCTACGACGACTGGTCAGTATCTCAGCACTACGACGACTGGTCAGTATCTCAGCACTACGGCGGCCGCGCGCGCTGCTCGTGCCCGCGCGCCGCCTGCCGCAAGTGCACGCCGTCACGCGCTACGACGACTGGTCAGCTCGCGCGCGCTGGTCAGTATCTCAGCACTACGCGCGCGCGCCTGCCCGCGCGCCGCCTGCCGCTAGTGCACGCCGACACGCGCTACGACGACTGGTCAGTATCTCAGCACTACGACGACTGGTCAGTATCTCAGCACTACGGCGGCCGCGCGCGCTGCTCGTGCCCGCGCGCCGCCTGCCGCTAGTGCACGCCGACACGCGCTACGACGACTGGTCAGTATCTCAGCACTACGACGACTGGTCAGTATCTCAGCACTACGGCGGCCGCGCGCGCTGCTCGCGCTGCGCGCGCGCCTGCCGCTAGTGCACGCGCGCGCTACGACGACTGGTCAGTATCTCAGCACTACGACGACTGGTCAGTATCTCAGCACTACGGCGGCCGCGCGCGCTGCTCGTGCCCGCGCGCCGCCTGCCGCTAGTGCACGCCGACACGCGCTACGACGACTGGTCAGTATCTCAGCACTACGACGACTGGTCAGTATCTCAGCACTACGGCGGCCGCGCGCGCTGCGTGCCCGCGCGCCGCCTGCCGCTAGTGCACGCCGACACGCGCTACGACGACTGGTCAGTATCTCAGCACTACGTCGACTGGTCTGCTAGTGCACGCCGACACGCGCTACGACGACTGGTCAGTATCTCAGCACTACGACGACTGGTCAGTATCTCAGCACTACGGCGGCCGCGCGCGCTGCTCGTGCCCGCGCGCCGCCTGCCGCTAGTGCACGCCGACACGCGCTACGACGACTGGTCAGCACTACGACGACTGGTCAGTATCTCAGCACTACGGCGGCCGCGCGCGCTGCTCGTGCCCGCGCGCCGCCTGCCGCTAGTGCTCGCCGACTCGCGCTACGACGACTGGTCAGTATCTCAGCACTACGGCGGCCGCGCGCGCTGCTCGTGCCCGCGCGCCGCCTGCCGCTAGTGCACGCCGACACGCGCTACGACGACTGGTCAGTATCTCAGCACTACGACGACTGGTCACTCAGCACTACGGCGGCCGCGCGCGCTGCTCGTGCCCGCGCGCCGCCTGCCGCTAGTGCACGCCGACACGCGCTACGACGACTGGTCAGTATCTCAGCACTACGACGACTGGTCAGTATCTCAGCACTACGGCGGCCGCGCGCGCTGCTCGTGCCCGCGCGCCGCCTGCCGCTAGTGCACGCCGACACGCGCTACGACGACTGGTCAGTATCTCAGCACTACGACGACTGGTCAGTATCTCAGCACTACGGCGGCCGCGCGCGCTGCTCGTGCCCGCGCGCCGCCTGCCGCTAGTGCACGCCGACACGCGCTACGACGACTGGTCAGTATCTCAGCACTACGACGACTGGTCAGTATCTCAGCACTACGACGACTGGTCAGTATCTCAGCACTACGGCGGCCGCGCGCTGCTCGTGCCCGCGCGCCGCCTGCCGCTAGTGCACGCCGACACGCGCTACGACGACTGGTCAGTATCTCAGCACTACGACGACTGGTCAGTATCTCAGCACTACGGCGGCCGCGCGCGCTGCTCGTGCCCGCGCGCCGCCTGCCGCTAGTGCACGCCGACACGCGCTACGACGACTGGTCACTCAGCACTACGACGACTGGTCAGTATCTCGACGACTGGTCAGTATCTCACTACGCCGACGCGCTACGACGACTGGTCAGTATCTCAGCACTACGACGACTGGTCAGTATCTCAGCACTACGGCGGCCGCGCGCGCTGCTCGTGCCCGCGCGCCGCCTGCCGCTAGTGCACGCCGACACGCGCTACGACGACTGGTCAGTATCTCAGCACTACGACGACTGGTCAGTATCTCAGCACTACGGCGGCCGCGCGCGCTGCTCGTGCCCGCGCGCCGCCTGCCGCTAGTGCACGCCGACACGCGCTACGACGACTGGTCAGTATCTCAGCACTACGACGACTGGTCAGTATCTCAGCACTACGGCGGCCGCGCGCGCTGCTCGTGCCCGCGCGCCGCCTGCCGCTAGTGCACGCCGACACGCGCTACGACGACTGGTCAGTATCTCAGCACTACGACGACTGGTCAGTATCTCAGCACTACGGCGGCCGCGCGCGCTGCTCGTGCCCGCGCGCCGCCTGCCGCTAGTGCACGCCGACACGCGCTACGACGACTGGTCAGTATCTCAGCACTACGACGACTGGTCAGTATCTCAGCACTACGACGACTGGTCAGTATCTCAGCACTACGACGACTGGTCAGTATCTCAGCACTACGGCGGCCGCGCGCGCTGCTCGTGCCCGCGCGCCGCCTGCCGCTAGTGCACGCCGACACGCGCTACGACGACTGGTCAGTATCTCAGCACTACGACGACTGGTCAGTATCTCAGCACTACGGCGGCCGCGCGCGCTGCTCGTGCCCGCGCGCCGCCTGCCGCTAGTGCACGCCGACACGCGCTACGACGACTGGTCAGTATCTCAGCACTACGACGACTGGTCAGTATCTCAGCACTACGGCGGCCGCGCGCGCTGCTCGTGCCCGCGCGCCGCCTGCCGCTAGTGCACGCCGACACGCGCTACGACGACTGGTCAGTATCTCAGCACTACGACGACTGGTCAGTATCTCAGCACTTACGGCGGCCGCGCGCGCTGCTCGTGCCCGCGCGCCGCCTGCCGCTAGTGCACGCCGACACGCGCTACGACGACTGGTCAGTATCTCAGCACTACGACGACTGGTCAGTATCTCAGCACTACGGCGGCCGCGCGCGCTGCTCGTGCCCGCGCGCCGCCTGCCGCTAGTGCACGCCGACACGCGCTACGACGACTGGTCAGTATCTCAGCACTACGACGACTGGTCAGTATCTCAGCACTACGGCGGCCGCGCGCGCTGCTCGTGCCCGCGCGCCGCCTGCCGCTACACGCCGACACGCGCTACGACGACTGGTCAGTATCTCAGCACTACGACGACTGGTCACTCAGCACTACGGCGCGCGCGCGCGCTGCTCGTGCCCGCGCGCCGCCTCCGCTAGTGCACGCCGACACGCGCTACGACGACTGGTCAGTATCTCAGCACTACGACGACTGGTCAGTATCTCAGCGCGGCCGCGCGCGCTGCTCGTGCCCGCGCGCCGCCTGCCGCTAGTGCACGCCGACACGCGCTACGACGACTGGTCAGTATCTCAGCACTACGACGACTGGTCAGTATCTCAGCACTACGACGACTGGTCAGTATCTCAGCACTACGGCGGCCGCGCGCGCTGCTCGTGACCGCGCGCCGCCTGCCGCTCGTGCACGCCGACACGCGCTACGACGACTGGTCAGTATCTCAGCACTACGACGACTGGTCAGTATCTCAGCACTACGACGACTGGTCAGTATCTCAGCACTACGACGACTGGTCAGTATCTCAGCACTACGACGACTGGTCAGTATCTCAGCACTACGGCGGCCGCGCGCTACCACCGCGAGCACGCACACGCGCTACGACGACTGGTCAGTATCTCAGCACTACGACGACTGGTCAGTATCTCAGCACTACGACGACTGGTCAGTATCTCAGCACTACGACGACTGGTCAGTATCTCAGCACTACGGCGACTGGTCAGTATCTCAGCACTCCGGTGGCGGCTGACACGTTGTAAAGTTTTCGAGAATAACCCCAACAGTTTATCTGAACCTTAGCAGCTCTGAGAAACACGTATATTCATAATTTTAATGTTATATTATTGAAAATTATAATTGAAATTGTAACAAAATATATGTGATATACTCATAATACTTAGATATATACTTATAAGCTATATTATTGTAAAGTTGCATTGAAGTCCATCCACACTCAAGAATTACCACATTTATAATATCATTAAGATATAACACTTGTAACCTACCCCCAAATAATCTATATTTTTTTATCTAAAAACCAATTTTCTTCTACAGGTGTGAAATCCACCTGCACGCGGTAGACCCGACCTCGTACCAAGTTCTGCCAGTAGAGCAAGTTCTGGAGACAATCGATTCTAAATATGATGAACTTAAGGACGTGTACCAAGAATATGGGGTTGAGACCCTTATCGCTGCTAGTGCTACATCCAAAGGTATGTATTTTAAGTTTTTTTTATGTACTTGAAATGTCATACAAGCTGTCGGCTAATAATCTGATGCGTGAAAGAGAAAAAGAATTAAGTAAAGAAACAGGTAGACAAAGAAAATCGACTTCGCTTTATACAATTATATTTCTCTGAATATAAATAGAATAGAATAGAATAGAATAGAATAGAAAATCATTTATTCAAATAAACTTAATTTAAGCACTTTTGAATAGTCATAACAATTTGTTTTTTATCTACCACTCGTTCGGAAAGCTGTCTCATCACAAGAAGAACGAGCAAGAAACTTGTGTGTTGCTCTTTTAAATAATCCTTGTAAGTTTACATTTACAAGTCGAAACGTGTGAATACAAACTACCAACAAGCACTAATTTTTGGGTCAAATATAAATATGCAATAAGATTAAATCAGTCGTAGTGATAAGAGCAGACCAGTCCCTACAAGCAGCACTCGTTCACGAGTATGACGGATGAGCCAGCCATCACTGCGCTCGACCATATTTTAGGGAGCCCATTGACCCGGCCCACCACGCCGCCACATGTCTGGACATTTTAGTGAGCATGACTACTCATTCCACACGACCACGTCACAGCTACAAAAATTACTATATGGTAGTTACAGTATTCGCACTTTACATAAGGATGCATACGGCAATCAATACAAAAGCCGCTACGCTATCATATATCAAGAAAGCAGTATGAAAATTAAAATTATAACGTTGTCCGCAAATAAACTTATTCTTGCTATATATTGCTATCATCTATAAATTCATCTATCTTATAATAGGCTTTTTTACATAACATTTGTTTAATATAAGATTTGAATTGCCTCTCTGTAAGATTTAGCGTAGACTCTGGCAGTTTATTATAGAATCTTACGCAATTACCATAAAATGAATTACTAACTTTGTGTAGACGGCATTTAGGTAAAATTAGCTTATTTTTATTGCGTAAGTTTCTACTTGTACAGTCTTTAAGTTTCTTGAAACTATCTAAGTTTTTCCTTGTACACATAATATTTTCATAAATGTACTGTGAGGCAACGGTGAGGATATTTGATTGTTTAAAGCATTGACGTAATGACTCTCTAGAACCCATACCATAAATAGAACGTATGGCTCTCTTTTGTAAAATAAATATAGTATTTATATCGGCAGCTTTACCCCATAGCAGTATGCCATATGACATAATGCTATGGAAATAACTAAAATATACAAGTTTTGCCGTCGCCACGTCTGTTAATTGCCTTATCCTTCTAATTGCATAAGCAGCAGAACTAAGTCTACTGGCTAATTTTGAAATATGGGGCCCCCATTGTAACTTCGAGTCCACTGTTATTCCTAAAAAAACTGTATCATTAACAAAAAGAAATATTGTTTCGCTGATTTTATTTATAATAATAATAATAATCTCAGGACAATTCACACAACGCCATCTAGACCCTAGTTAAGCTAGCTAAAGCTTGTGTTATGGGTACTAGATAACTGATACATATACATAGATATTTTTTTTTGTAAATACATACATATTATACATAGAAAACACCCAGACCGATACAAACAATCATACTCATGAATACAAATGTTTGTGCCGTGTGAGGAATCGAGCCCGCGACCATCGTAAAGCGGATCGCTAGGCCACCGAGGTCATCAAATTAAGTTTTGAACTAAATGTATATATATTTCTTATTTATTTATTAACACAAAAATTGGATCACGTAATATTCAGACATTTGTAAAAAAACATTTTTACACAACAATACAATATTTATAATAATAATATATCAGGACTCATGCCTTTATACAGGATGTCCCAAAACGTTTGAAATTTAAATTTCGAATAAAACGGAAATGGCGTGCGTGATTAGAGCACCAACGATCTTTCGGAGTTCAGCCGCCAGGAGCGTTTTACCGGAGCGTACCCTGCTTTTTGTATATATATGTACACTGACTCAGTACCAAAGTTGACCAATATCTTGTATTTGCTGTTATTTCATTAGTGTTTCCCCAAAAGAAAATTTTGTACAATTAGAGAACTTTGTTTTGTCTCATGTCTCAATATATAGAAGGATACCACTTTGAAGGCTATACAACTTAGTTTTTTGTTGTGTTTATGAAGGATAAGGCTTGATACCTTAGTCCTTCAGAATGGCAAAGCATGAGTGACATCAGTTCTGTCACAATATAATGTAATGCCATATTGTTGTTCACGTATGAGCGAAGTTCCATCAAGTGGGATGTCACCTCATTTACCATTCCAATTCAGGCCTCGGTGGTCTAGTGGTTTAGAACACCACCTTATTTCCGATGTTTGCGGGTTCGATTCCTCGCACGGTGCAAGCGAGGAATCGAACCCGAAAACATCGGTAATAATTGTATTCATGAGTATAATTGTTTGTATCAGTCTGGGTGTTTTATATATATATATATATATTACGTATGTATAAGTTGTAGGTACGTGTGTACGTATATTAGTTGTCTGGTACCTATAACAGAAGCTAGCAACCGTGGGACTAGATGGCGCTGTATTAATTGTCCAGGGTTATTTATTTATTATATTAATAACAAAATACATTATTTTTTTTTGTGTTTATTTTCAGCTCCGGACAGCTTCGATCCAGCGCTGGCAGCGCTGATAGCGTTACTCATAGTGCTGTTCACCGGTATAGTCACATTTATCGTGGTCTGCGCGTGTTTGAAACACTGGTTAGTTATAATTTTTTTTTTATTGCATTGTTTGGGTTATTGTCAGATGTGTAGCACCTGTAGCACTGCGACCTACATAGATCTATTGTGCTCGCCCTTTTCAGAGTTCGCTACCTAGACTCGTCAGGGACAAGAATTGAAGGATATTCTTAGGAGCGATGGTTTTTATTTCCTCGGGAAAGAGTGTAAACTTTCCAAAGGAGATATTATGCATGAGTGGGCTACAACCACATAGGATGTGAAGCGGCGTTTCCTCTTCAGTTTGGCAGAATCTGCAGATACTTATCGTGCATAATAGGCCTAGTTTAGCCATATGCTTGTTTAATTTGCAGTGTCCTGTGAGGGCCCTAGTCATCATGCATATGTTGTTTTTACTCAATACCAGTAGTCTATTGGAGTATTTGGTCGAGAAGCCCGATATTAGGTCTTTTGAATGTGTTAATCCTGGCATTTCTTGCCAGTGATTCAGTGCTTCTCGTTTGGTTATTAATTTGAGATGTCCCAGTTTTAGGCAACGAGGCACACCACAGAAGGGTTCGGGGCCCAGTTGGACGGTTTTTGCCCCCAACTTTGCCAGATGGTCGGCATTCTCGTTGCCTTCAATATTTGAATGCCCGGGGACCCATCTCAGTATAATATTATTTCTGCTTCCTACTTCATTTAGTAGCAGGATACAGTTTCTAATACTGGTTAGTTAAATCATATATGTACGTATTCGATCTCGCTGGTCTGGCAGTTTAGCATACAGCTTTACTTGCGATGGTCTCCACGCAGTCCTCGCACGATGCAAACATTTTTATTCATTAGTATGATTGCTTGTATCGGCGCTACAGACAGTCACCTTTGTCGGGGCTGCTTTGAATCTGAAGAAACGGCGGCTAACGTAATCCTAGAGTGCGCAGCAGTGGCCCAACAACGAAAAGAAATCCTAGGAACGGTGAGGTCGCTCCGTGAAGCCTGTGAAGACACCAGGAGACTTCTGCGCTTTTGGGAGGAGCTTGGCTGGCTACTTTAGTATTCTGGCTCTGCACGCACAACGGCCCGAATAAGAGGCTAATTGCGGAGACTGGAGTCCAACAAACATAACCATAACATAAACTAAGTATTTCTGTCAGTTGTCTAGTCTAACACAAGCTCTGCTAAGCTTGGGGCTAGATGGCGCTGTGTGAATTGTCCAGGGTTATTATTATTATTATAGGATCGATAACGCGGACGTGACACCCCTGGTGTTTCAGGTGTCGATAGGCTACAGTGACCGTTTACCATTAGATGGCCACCATCGTAGTATAAAAAAATATATCCATATTGTAATAAGATCCGGCTCGAAGGACCAATTTTTTATATACTACGTTTTTTTGTCTTATCCAATAGGGTAATACCTCCACCATCGATGCCGTCCAGCAAAGGCGACAGTCTCGCCCGGCGGAGGATACTCGAGGAGTTGAGTACGACGGAGAACCCGCTCTGGCTGGAGACGAAACTGCGACCCTACGAGGAGCAGGAGCTCACCATGAACGTGTTCGGAGATCAGAACGAGCAGGGAAACGCTGATCAGCCACAGGTTTGTAGTCTATACAAATAAATGAATTTTACAAACTGAAACTTTTCAATAAAGGCATTTCAAGAAAGTGTATACGATACTTACATAAAAAAGACATTTAAAAATTTTGACTGTCTGTTCTTGCTAATCTCCGAAACGGCTAAACCGATTTTGACGAGTCTGTCACTCGTAACTTAGGCTACTTTTATTTTAGAAATTTAGTTCTGGGTCTATGTATATTATGTACGTATTTACAAAAAAAAAAACAATTATTAATACCAGTTGCAACTACCCATAGCACAAGCTCTGCTTACAGTGGGTCTAGGTGATGCTTTTAATTTTCCAATGTTATTTATAGAAATTATTATTTTTATGACGATCTGGTCAAGATCGCTGGAAGGCATTGGATGCGAGCAGCGCAGGACCGATCGTCGTGGAGATCTTTGGGGGAGGCCTATGTCCAGCAGTGGACGTCTTCCGGGCTGCGATGATGATGATGATGATGATTTATAGAAATATCTATACACTGTAATATGCAATATGTAATTAAGAAACATATAATTTAGTGGATAGGAAATATAGAAATAATAGATAGGTAAGAATATTTATATAGAGATAGTGTAATTTACTAGCGTTCTTAAAATCTTTGTTCTATACAGACGGACAATACGTACGCAACGATACAAGGCAGTCGGACTACAGAGAGGTTCGGTGATTACGCGACTCTCGGTGGCGATTCGCCCACCCCACTAGAAGCTGCGTTGGGTTTCCAGGTATGGTATATGTTTATCAAATTTAACGCAGTCATTTATATGGCAAATACAGAAAAACAAGGGACCTTACCACGTTTATAATATTTATATATCGGTGGCAGGGTTGCCATATAAGGGTGGTTCTTGTTAGGCAAATGGTACGACATTTGAGTGTAAATGTCATTTGGTCCCGTTTATTATTATGCTTATATACTACTTACTTACTAAGTAAAGAAAGAAGAAAGAAAAACATTTATGGACAACAATTAGTGATATAAAAAAATACATACATTTACACATTTCACAAAGGTATATTTTATATATATATATATGTATATACTAGCTATCCCGGTAAACGTTGTTTTGCCTTAAAATATTTAGGGGGATGAAAAATAGATGTTGGCCGATTCTCAGACCTACTCATTACGCTCACAAAATTTCATGAGAATCGGTCAAGCCGTTTCGGAGGAGTATGGGAATGAAAACTGTGACACGAGAATTTTATATATAAGATATATACGTATGCACACACACATATACATATATACACATACATACACACTTAGAACAATTATCAAAAATATATATATTTATATATATGGTTAATTATATAAATAACTATACGGTATAATAAATAAATATATGGTTGGCAACATGGCTGACACTCAGCATACGCCGTGACAGCTAACTGTCACGTATTGTGTATTCTGTGCCTGCCATTACGAGTACATTCATCTTTACATTCCTTGCTTCTATTTTTTAAGTTCCCAATATTTCGGCCGGTATCTCCAGGTAGGTTTTTGTAATAGATGATAATGGAATGGTGCACCTGCCGGCGCTAGCGATTTACGCTGGCGGGGCACCAGTGAAGCATGAGATCAGATCAGTTAGCCCATCGTGGCAAATTCACAAGGAATTTATCACGATGGTTTCCAGAGGGAACCGCGTGGAGGTCAACCTGACATGGCTAGCAATGGGGTTATTTGTTATTAGTATTAGTATCACCTTCCAGCAATGGTATTTCCGAACCGATACGTTATTGAAACCTTCAAGAAAAGAGCTTATTCCTTTTTAAAAGGCCGATAACGTGCAATTCCCCTGGTGTTACGGGTGGTCATGGGCGTCGGTAATCACTTACCATCAGGTGAGCCGCATGCTCGTTTGTCCCGTGTTATAACAAAAAAAAGTTCACATTGTAAAGCATGAGGTCAGATCAGTTAGTCCATCGTGGCTAATTCAACAGGAATTTATCACGATGGTGTCCAGAGGGAACCGCGTGGAGGTCAACCTGCCATGGTACATGGCTAACAATCCCGTTACCCTTTTCTAGATATGTTCATATCTGCACTAATAATGAGTAAAGCATGGAATATTGATACAGAGATAGATCTCCAAATTGTATTGGGTGAAATAGAGTATATTTGTCTGTCGGTTTAGCACACCGCACTTCCGACGGTTGCTGGTTCGATTTATATTACAAAAAAAATTGTCTAATACTCATAACACAAGCTCGTCTTAGCTTGGAACTAGATGGCGCTGTGTCACTTGTTCAACGAAAAAAAAAAATCAAATAAGTAGCATAAATATTAACGTAATCGATAATCGGTAACGAAGTCTCGTGTAGCAACTAAATTTATACAAGTTTCTTATTAAATTACTAAGTATATAATGTATTCCTTCACAGGGGAGTACCTTCAAACCACCATCACCAAGCACACCGGAGCCTCCGCCACGTCCGTCAGGTTTGGGATCACTATGATGTGTGGTAGATGACTAACGTGAAATACGTGAAACTCTAATATCAATAATGTGAAACACGTGAAACTACTGCATCACTAACGTGAAACACGTGAAACTACTACATCACTAGCGTGAAACACGTGAAACTACTCCAAGACTAACGTGAAAATGCAAACTTTATATCATATTAGGTAATTACCTATGAGATTTATACGAACATAGACATTTTAGTGTTGCGAAACGAACGTTTTAAGACATGTCTATTATTATTAAATCTAATCGAAATGACCAACGTGAAACTGCACGAACTATATGAACGTATAAGTAAACTGACTTCTGTGAATTACACGAATATAGACTTTATTAATATGAATTAAAGAACATTTTAGGTTATGTATATTATTAAATTAAATGTAATTAATGAAAGGGAAAATCGTGACGACATATGACTCACGTGAACTGTATGTGTTTATATATAATCCTTATGAAGTTCCTGTGTGATGATGATGTTGGAATTCATAATTTTCCTGGAGGAACATTTAGAATTATACGAATATGGATTTTCCTGAAGGAACATTTTAGTCGTTGTATTATATTATTAAATTTAAATGTTGTGTACAATTAAATTTTAATTTAAATATTGTACAATATTATGTTAGCCACATTGAAATACTAAATATAAATATAGTATGAAACAATCATAGTCAATATATATTCAAGTGTACGATATATTTTATATATTTTATGCTACGTTTACATTCAGCCGCTTCCCCTGCCACTCACGCTGCCGGAAATATTGCCGTGCGACAACTGAGCGAGAGAGCTGAATGTAAAAACACGCTGCCACTCGCGCTGCCAGTCCTTTGACTCGCGCACGAAAAACCGACAATCGAGGGAGCGCCGGGCAGCGCGAGTGACAGCGCCAATGGCATGGGAAGTGTTTCCACTCGTGTTTACACTCTCGCGCTGCTCACTTCCCTGCCCACTCGGGCTGAGTGTAAATTGGGCATTGAATTTAAGGATTAAGTATAGATTTGATAAAATCACTCACTCGTTACGTCAAAGACTGGATGTAGATCTGTTCAGAGAATTGCATTATTATATAGTAATGTAAATTCAAATGATAGAATTATTTAAACAGAAAAATAGTTAGTAAATTTATTATTGTACTTATTTTTATGCTGCGTTTTCACCATGACATCGTTGGCAGAATTTCTAGGTATCCTAATATACATTTGCTTATAATGAAACATTGAAATGAAATGAAAATTTTTGCTCCAAGAGAGATTGTTGTAGTACCATGATTAGGTTTTTAAAATGAAAGTTATATAACATTTTATATATTTATATACTTTCATAGTATATACATATAGCGTATATTTTTATATACTTAATTATTAATTGTATACAATATACTTTAAGATATATTTTATTATTTAATATTTTACTAGGAAATATGTATGTTGATGGCGTATTACAACTTCAGCATCGAAATACAAAGACTGCCGTAAATTTATTATGTTACCAATATATTGTTAAAATTAATAAAATGGTATAAATATATATATATATATATATATAGGTAATACGTCGGCAACGTCCATCGTAAGTAATTAAAAAATGCTTCCAAATGGAAGCCATTTCGTCAAGTAATTTGTGATCACAACAAATTATATAAATAAAGCTGAAGAGTTTATTTGTTTGTACGCGCTAATCTCAGGAACTACTGGTTCGAATTGAAAAATTATTTTTGTGTTGGATAGTCCATTTGTCGAGGAAGGCTTTAAGCTATATAACATTACGCTACGACCAATAGGAGCGGAGCTGGAATGACAAATATTGCAAAAGGTGGGAAAATGAAACACAGACGAAGTTGCGCGGCTCACCTAGTTATGTATAATTAGGTGATTGTGAAGTTTACTTTGAAGTATTTATAGATATTTTATTTGATAATAAATTAAAATATTGATATATTTTTTTGGATTCATGTCATTAATTTAATTTGTTTCAGTAAGTTATATTTACGCATACCCCAAATCAGATTTATTTTAGTCGAAACTCGGATATTTTGTTCAATAAATTTTTGTAGTGCATAATATATATTTTGACTTTTGTCTCATTTATATTAGTGCACCGTCAACAATCTTTCTCTGCGCCACTCATGATTGCCTGGTAGATTACGCCGCAAGGTATTGAGTCCGCTATATGTACAAATTTTTGTGCATTGAAGTTAATAAATAGTATAGAATTTTTAGGAATAGGGGAGCTGCCTTTTCGGACAGTGGCCATTCTAGCCGATCAGTTCCATCAAGCATACATACACAAATGTGGTATTAAATGTCTATCTTAGCCAACAATAATCAAGTAATAATTTTTTTCATTTTTGAAATGTATTAACTTAATATATAATATTTCATTTTGTAATTAACTCAACTGTGTATTTATAGATTCTATTGCCATATTTGTAAATTACGTTGTTTGTACAAACCGAATCTTTAATTGTTAAGCATTATTTAAGAGGTTTTGGTGTTAAGCAACATTCAAAAGTTCAGCATAATAAAAATAGTTTAATATAATAAAATGTAAGTACAGTAAGACCCCGCTGTTTCCTTAATTTTAACCCGGGGATTCGGAACATAACGGAAAGGAATCGAGGAAATAGTTCAAATAACAGCAGCTAGTCTTTATAATAATGAGCTTGAGGAATTCACTGAGCGAGAAGAAAACAAAAATATTGATAATAAATATTCCGAAGAAATGAAAGAAAGATATCGTTTAAGGCTGTATCGCTTAGCGCTGGACCTTTTTTTTTAATTGATGATAATGGAATAAAAGGAATGGTGCACCCGCCTGCGCTTACGGTTTACGCTGATTGAGCACCAGTGGAAGATGATAAGATGAGCAAGCGGTCAGGTCAGTTAGCCCACAATGACAATTTCACTAGGAATTTTTCATGATGGTTTCCAGGGGAACCGCGTGGAGGTCAACCAGCAATGGGGTCATAAGTCCACATTACTGGGGGGAAGAGGATTGTTAGTAATGGGAACTAGTAACTCCCATTGCTAGCAATGTACCATGTTAAGTCGACCTCCACGCGGTTCCCCCTGGAAAACATCATGATAAATTCTAGGTGAATTTGTCATGATGGACTAACTGACCTGACCTCATGTTCATCTTATCATCCTCTACTGGTGCCCCGCCAGCGTAAACCGTTAGCGCAGGCGGGTGCACCATTCCATTATCATACAAAAAAAAAGTCCACATTACTATTAATCCCCGCCCCTAACGTATTGGAACGTATCCCCCGAGTTAACCTGGGTCTTACTGTACATCTGTCTGCATGCGGCTCACCTGATGGTAAGTGATTACCGCCGCCCATGAGCACCCGCAACACCAGGGGAATTGCAAGTACGTTGTCGGCCTTTGAAAAAGGAATAAGCTCTTTTCTTGAAGGTTTCAATATCGTATCGGTTCGGAAATACCATTGCTGGAAGGTGATTCCACAATGTGGTTGTGTGTGGCAAAAAGTTTCTAGAAAACCGTACTGTGGAAGACCGCCATTCATCCAGATGATCAGGATGGTATTTTAGTTTCTGGCGGGTGGTACGGTGGTGAAACTCAGCAGCTGGTATTAATCCGAACAATTCCTCAGAACACTCCCCGTGATATATGCGGTAGAAAATGCAGAGATGCTATGGAGATGATATGGAGGATAATACGAGATAAACTATTATTGGATGACTTTATGAATGCAATAAAACGTGAAATATTTATTGTTAGCATGTCTGTATGTCTACTAATCTCAGAAACGTATGTGATTAAAAATTGACATATAGATATATTAGGTTTAAAATTCACAATATTTTTTTTACAAATTCAGACAATTAATATGAACTAAGTGCGTTGTAAAATGAGTCAATGTGTTAGTATATATATTTTATTGTAAATATTACATGTTTTTTTATACCTAAAAGTATTACAGATAAAGAAAATATCTACGAATAATAAATAACTTTTTGTAAAATGTGTTTTATTCTGGTTAGGATTTTTTTTATGGATGATTATGGTATGGTCACCTGCCTGCGCTAACGGTATAAGCTCACAGGTGAGGAGGATATAATAAGATGAGCATGAGGTCAGGTCAGTTAACACATCGTATACCTGTAAATAAGTTTTAACAAAATGGCTAAAATCTAAAAACTATGACGAAATTGAAGCTATTTTGTACAGTTCTGGATGACAGCATGGTCTATGAGCAATTGGACTGTAGTCACAATGTACTATATATACAATATATATACAACACACACACACAACACACACACACAACACACACACACAAAACACACACACAACACACACACACATACACACACAGTCTTTTACAGTAGAAACAAATTCTTAATATAATAATAAATAACCGTAGAAGAGCGTGATCTCTTCTGAGCTGAGAGCGTAATTATGCTTATGCTGCCGCAGCCCCGGCTTAAGGAAATATATAAATAAGAATATGTGATTGTTAAAATGTAAAAAAAAAATTGTAAAATATCTATGTTAATGAAATAAATTTATTATTATTATTATTATTATCGTGACAAATTCTCCAGTAACTTGTCATAGATTTAATAATATTATACAGCGATGGTTTCCAGGAGGAACCACGTGGAGGTCAATCTGACATAACAACATTAGCAATAGGGTTATTAGTCCACAATACTAACGAAACCTTTCGCCCCGGTTTTTATATATTAAAAGATATATATTTCGTAGGAATCTTCATCTGCTACTTCCTTATCCCATTTATTTGTGGTCGGCGTAATGTTTTTCTCATAAATTCATAGGAAATCCGCTAATAAATAAAACACTTACTTTTGAAAATATCATGTATATTAGGCACTTTGGTGGACATAAACAAGCATAATCCACATCTAAAAAAGCCACAGTACTAATTCTTAACGTGATGATTTATTATATAGCAACAATAATAACATATTATTATATGTATGATTATGTTTGTGATGGAATTGAATTGAAACTCAACTCAATCCCAGTGTCCCTCGGGGACAGGCGAGTCAACCTCAACCGGATTGGGCCGACAGCGAGTGTATTTAACAAAAATAAACTCTATTGTGTACACAGAAGAAACATAATAAGAAAAACAGTAAATTGATAAGTAATAACAAAAGACAGTGTTATCGCTGCAAGCAATTTCTTACAGACGACTGGAAGAGAGTACTATTTCTATACGCTGAATATCTCCATCAATAATAGCAGTTGCAGTAATTATACTAAATCCTTTCTTATTATGTAACTATTAATAATTATATCTAAATATTACATTCCTACAATAGTGCCCACGAAGGGTAAAGATTTCAAATAAAAGAAAAAAATGCATAATTTTAAAAGAAATATTAATCATCATATATCTGTTACTTTTTCCAAAACCTTGACAAACAATTCAAATTGACAGCCTCGGTGGTTTAGCACACCGCTTTACTATCCGATGGTCGTGGGTTCGATTCCTCGCACGGTACAAACATTTGTATTCATGAGTATGATTGTTTGTATCGGTCTAGGTGTTTTCTATGTATAATATGTATTTATTAAAACAAAAATGTATCCATGTATTTATATCAGTTGTCTAGTACCCATAACACAAGCTCTGCTTAGCTTGAGACTAGATGGCGCTGTGTGAATTGTGCTGAGATATTATTATTATAAATTAAATATACACTCTCCTTGCATTTTTTCGGCAAACTACGGAAAAAAGATTTTTAATTTTATTTTTGTCATTTATGAAATAAAAAAAATTGGGATTTTTTTATATACCACGATGGTGGCAATCAAGCAAACGGCGCATCTGATGGTAAATGGCTACCGTAGACTATGAACGCCTAAAACACTAGGGGTATCACATGCGTGTTGCCAACCCTTAAGAAAACTTAATATACCCTTCTTGAAAAACTCCTCAAGAAAAAGAAGTTAATCTTTTTCGTTGGGAGCCCCCATGGCCCGGGGGCCCGTAGAATTGATACGACAGATACGGCAGTAGCTATGCCCCTGAACTGTGCATAATCAATGTAATTATACATACTTTAGTTTTTTATTTTTCGGACTACTCTAATGCTGTTGGCCGCAGCTGGCCTTTACAGCTTCACATTATAGCACAATTACTACGCAATAATAATTTTAATTGTGTTTGGACGTTAGGGGGCGAGTGCAGATGGCACTCCAAACCCGCGGAAGGACTTATGGAGCGGCTGAAGGCCAACTCCTGCCTGACGGATACGACTTTAGTCTAAGGGCACCACTAGGGGTTCGAACCTCGGCTCAGGCCGTCGTAATTTCGATCCCCGTTTGAATTGGACGGGGGATCGATCAGAGGGGCGCCCGGGGGCGCCGAAACACATACGTTAGTGGCAGGAAAGAAAGAATATATAACAGAAAGAAAATCCGTCAATGAAAATCGACTTCGAATTGATTACATCCTCAATTAGAAGTCTACTTTTTCATTGACAAATTATATATAGGATAGTAGTATCCTCAATGGTAGCAGCTGAAGTAATTTAAATCGTCATTTTTCAAAAAAAATCAATTTGCACATTTATATTAATTATTATTGTGTGGGAGTGTGTATAGGACGCTGGGGTCGGTGCAGCCAACGATGATTGTAATTAAAGATGCAATATGTAAAAGTAATAGTATATTATAAAAATATATGTCGTAACAAACTATATGAAAGCAAAAGCAATAGAAGGAATAACAAAACCATAGCAACCTATATAAAATATAAATATTTAAAAATAAGGAATTGTCGTACCAGCCAGCGGACCGAATGTAAGGAGTTCTGTACAATTATTTTTGTTTCTTTCTTATCTTTTATCTGGTTTAAAAGAAGGTAATCTCACCCAGACGGGCCTTGGTCAAGTATGGCAGAGGTTGCGCTATGTGAAGATGATATTATTATTATACTAATAATGTATACATATAAATAAAATTAGAGTGTCTGTTTGTAATATTGAAATAACCGTTTTCACTACATGCATATGAATATAAATACGGTACATACACCAAAATAACACTATACAATTTTTGTCTGTCTATCTGTCGGTCTGTTTGTTCCGGCTAATCTCTGAAACGGCTGGACCAATTTTGACGGGACTTTTTTTGGCAGGTAGCTGTTGTAATAAGGCGTAACTTAGGCTAATTATATTTTATTTTAGAAAAATGAACTTAAATTCCACGCGGACGAAGTCGCGGGAACAGCTAGTTATATATATAATTATTATTAGTAAACTACAATTAAAAATTAGTTAATTATCACATATTTTCTACATGAACTTTTTATTATTTTATGAATTTTGGTATTTTTTTTCCATTTTCGGTACGTCAGTCCCATCGTACCTTAATCTCTAATACAAACAAAAAACACATATTAAGTCAACAAACAACAATAAAACTAGAGAATATAAGAAAAAGTGATATTAAAACCTACTCCTAACCAAATCATACACCAAGCCTGCTGCCTCAGACGAGGGTACCCCTCAGTACAGTATCATAGGTATTCAAATTTTGTTTGTGTCATATCTAACATCCGGTTGAGATGAGACCTTCATATTGAAAATTGAGAATAATCATCATCATCTGCTTCTTCCTTATCCCATTTATTTGGGGTCCAGAATTATTTTTATATCTGAAAATTGTCTCATGAATCTCTTTTTCGGTCTTCCTCTAATAATATATATATATATATATAACGCATTACATGCCCATTCGATTAAACTTCTCTGACATCATAATGAATCTGAAATCATATATATATATATAAATTCTAAACTGGGCTTATATTCAATCTGTAGTTCTGTTCCGAGTTTATTAAAAAAACATAGACCAATAACCAAGACTTACACTTTCTAGACCAACTCTGGGACTGTGGGGAACAGTGCCTGCCAATACTAATATATGTGTATATTATAAATAAAAGAGAGTGAGTAAGAGAGTTTTTTCCTAAGTCAAACTACGGCATCGTTTTTGAAATTTATTCACTAGAAAGGCACATTTTTCCAGATTGACATGGCTTATAAAAAATTTACAAAGTTAGGAACTAGTCGAGATAGGCGTAACATAAAAATGTAGAATTTATGCATAAAAATTTATTAATTTAAAAATTTTTACTAATTTTATTAACCCATTCCTTTCCACACTACATTTAATTTTTATATTCAACAAACCATGTATTTACACTATAGCTACTAATGAAAATTGTATTTTAAAATATTTTTCTATTAAAATATGTTTTTTGGTAGTGATACATATTTACGGCATTTTAATATATATTATAACTTTTTTTTAATGTATTAAGACCTTAATCCTATTACATCGATGCTTGGGAAGTAATGGGTTAATTTAAAAATTTGTTTTTCAACAAAATTTCTAACTAATAAGAACATTAACAAACTACATGTATGCAAGCATATATAAAATGTTATATAGTAATGAATATGCACAATTAATCGGCCTTCACTTACATATCTAATATAATTACAAAAAAGTACTTTATTTTACGCTAATCGAAAAATTTTTACACCAAAATGTCGTTTTTTTATATAATATATTACCTCATTTAAACCCTTAAAATGATTCCAGATAATTTTATTCACCATGAGGAGACAAATATTATATTATTTATAAATGTACGTATATATTAGGCGTGAGGCTTATACCATTATTTTCCATCAATTTTAAAATGTCGTATGTTAGTTATATTATAAACGCGAAAGATGGTGAGTATGTTTGGGTAGATGGGTGGATATTTGTTACTCAAAAATTTATTTGTTATGCAAAAACTACAGTATTACGATATGAAACTTTACAGCTTATACATTAGAATAACACATTGTATAAACAAAATAAAAAAATATATAAATGAACGGGTCAGATCTATGGGAAGTACATTCTTTAGACTATAAATTACATCCGACTGAAACCGCGGGCACAGCTAGTATGTAATAAGTATGTAATTGTTGTTACAAACAATTACATCTATTTACAAAAAAAAAACAACAGTCATTGTAATACAACGTGGCACATCGAGGCAGCGTACCCAAGATACTGGCAGCGTTGCCTCTTTTAATGGCCATACTTAACCTTAGGGCAAAGTAGCTACCAGCTCTCGGGTCAGTAGTAACTTCGATAAGCCGCTGAAATACATGTCAAAATTAATTTAACTTCTGGGCCCCATACTGCAAATGGCAAAAACCGATATGATGTAATTGTTAGGTATTATAAAAAAAATCGTGTTTGCTGAGAAAAGGCATATTACAGCACTGTCTGCTGATATACGACTGTCTATATCTAATTTAAACGGTTCTAAAATTTGCTCTTGATAGGAAATTTTAGGCAAAATTTTTTTTTAATAAATAACAAAATATGAAATTTCCTGTATATCTTTACGGAGTCAATAACAAAAGAACTACACCTCGTAAGCAGACCGCAAAATAAGTTCCACTCATCACATTGATCAGTGGAACTAATTACCGTATGTTCAGGAAAAAAACATATCGGTTCTTCTCTTATTCAAACTCTTGACAGTACGGTCGTGATCATTATATAGTGGACTGAGCAGATGTCATCCGTTTTACAACAACTTGCCATTTCTCCCTCCTGGCTGCCATTCCGGTACACTCGTGGAGTGGACCACCTACCGCTGCTTTGACTTGGTCAGTCCATGGCTAAGCATTCATTTTAATTATAGTTTGACTACTTTTAGTGCCTCTGCTGTACATTAACGTATATGCCATAATTTTCTCCCAACACGAAGAATGTCTTCCGGTATAAATAGAGTACGTACAATGTAGAGTACAATGAGTATGGTGTTGAATTTGGCTCGTATATTATGGGCTCCAATGAAATAATAAACACCTGACAGGAAGCGTTTCGATCTATTGGTGATCAATATCCGATCGTTATTGGATCTACACCTATTTCGCTACTCGTGTGTAGGTATTTCGCCTCTGAACGAGGTATCATCAGCCATTAAAGTTTGGAATACTGTTCGGCAACACTAAGTCGCAGTTGGTCGGAGATCAGACAACACTACGCTTCCAAGCTATATCAGAGTCTATTCTAATGGTAGCGGAAATAAACAAAATAAATTAATTAAGTAATGAAATGGACATCCGCAAAATAACACCTAACACGATAATATATAAATAATAAATATTTATTATTTAGAACAATAAATAGAATATTTGATATATAATATCAATAATGGCCAGGATTTCGTTGTCTTATAATAAAATATGACTATAAAATGGAAGCACATTAACTTAGTTCATGTATAACAATCTCAGATCATTTGAAGTTACGTGAGCATTTTCTGAAGTCGTTGATTACTGTCTCCGCCTTGTTGTCGGCCTGCTTCCTGATGTGGTGAAGTCTTCGGCGGGCGTGGGTGACGATGTCACGGTAACATCTCCTGGAATGCTTCAGGTCCATTTTGGCACGGTCCAGCTCGTCGACGGCGTTACGTCGCCAGCGCTTCACGTTTTGTGAATTCTGGTGAGGAAATCTTAAGTCTTTAAATGAACATTTAGAATAGAATAGAACATCATTTATTCAAATAAACTTAATTTAAGCACTTTTGAATAGTCAACATTTTTTTAAATCTACCGCTTATTCGGAAAACTGTCTCATCACAAGAAGAATAAACAAGAAACTTGTGTGTTGCTCTTTTAAACAATCCTTGTAAGTTCACATTTACAAGTCGAAACGTGTGAATACAAACTACCAACCAGCACTAATTTATTTAACTCAAATATAAAAACAAAACAAATATAGTATTTACATCGGCAGCTTTACCCCACAGCAGTATGCCATATGACATAATGCTATGGAAATAACTAAAATATACAAGTTTTGCCGTCGCCACGTTTGTTAATTGCCTTATCCTTCTAATTGCATAAGCAGCAGAACTAAGTCTACTGGCTAATTTTGAACGTCTTACATTAGGAAGCGTGAATTTAATACACTTAGTTTTGTTGGAGTTCAATAATAGATTATTACATGTGAACCAATTTAATATAGCAGAGATAGCATAATTTACATCGTCTAATTTATTACATTGGCGACCAATTTTAAACACTAACGAAGTATCATCCGCAAATAACACTATATCTGCAACTTTCTCTACCATGTAGGGAAGGTCATTTATATAAATTAAAAAGAGAAATGGGCCTAATATTGAACCTTGAGGAACGCCCATTTTTATATTAGTTCCCTTAGACTTTACACCATCAATATCTACAGTTTGCACCCTATCCTCTAGATAAGTTTTCATTAGACTTAGGTCATTATCTCTAATACCATAATTTACATTTATAAAGCTGAACCCGCAAACTCCGTTCCGCCTCAGAATTAAATAATATGTCAAAGGTTTTTCGAAGTTTAGTTACGCATTAATTTCTGAACGCACCCTGTTTGACAGATACGAACAATTGGTATGGGAATATAGAGTTGTTGTTTTAACTATTTACCACGCAATTTCTTCATATTTTCTCATTACTTAAACCTTTCTTAGAGTTCTACAAATATTTAAAATCCAAAACTATCCAAAACGGTCCAGCCGTTCTCTAGTTTTAGCCAAACTAACAAACGTAATTTAATTTTTATTTGTACAACAATATTGTGACGATGATGGCTTCGTCATGGTATACAAGGAGAGGCACATAAAGAGGATCAAGGAACCATTGTGGAACTGCATCCACTGGACCCAACTTCCTGTTGCGTGCTGCTACACCGACCACGGCAATGTACCTGTCCCGCCTACACTACGACACTAAGGTACAGGACATTGTCGACTACATACGGACCACAAGGAACCTGATATCGAGCATGATGCAGCTGGAATCGAATCACAACGCGGGTTTCAAGGCTTGTGGCCCGGGTCCCCACCAACATGCTGTCCACTTTCATGAAGGAGGACTACTGGCTGAAGGGGGTGATGTATCGGTGGTTCATGTAAAATTTAAGACTAAATTGGCGGCCTCGGTGGTTTAGAACACCGGCTTACGTATGATCGTCGCGGGTTCGATCCTTCGCACGATGAAAACATATACTCATCAGTATGGTTGTATGTATTGATCTGGGTGTTTTCTATCATGTAACTGTATCATGTATGTATTAAGAAATAATATTTAGTTGCTATCAGTTGTCTAGTACTCATAACAAAAGTCTGCTTAGCTTGAGACTAGATATCGCTTGTCCTGAGATATTTTATATTAGATAATATTATTAATTCTAAATTGCTACTCAAGGCTAGGTCTATGCTTGTAATTAGTATATCACGGGATTCTTACTTACTATTCAAACTCAAACGAAGACACCTGAAGAGAATCTATTTAGACGAACATGTCTGCCCATAAAAAAATTACTTACCATCTACCCGCTGCTCTTCGGTTTACCCGTGATCATGGCGGTTGAAACACTGCCGAAATATCGGGAACTCAATAAGAATAAAACGTGGTAAGATCCCTCGATTTACTAATTATACGTATAAATAATGACAGCGCCAAATTTAAAACAGTTTTAGATCTGTGGTACCACTGCAGGCACATTACAGATAAATACTCTCGAATTTTGTAATAAAAAAACCAATTTATATAAAAAAATATCACTCACCTCGCATAATATGCCGCACTTGCTGGCAATATTTTCGTATCTCGTAATTAACTCTTCACTCTGAAATTAATAAAATGTTAAAATTTATAAAAGAGATGACGCCAAAATGCCCATATAATTTAGTCCGTATTTTGCATATTAGTCTACAGTGAAATTATTGGTTTTGGGATATGCTTCATAATTAGTAGAATCGATTTAAGTTTCGGATCTGGGGGCTTTTGCTTTCCCGAGATAAAGTTGAAATCAAATAATGTGAAGAAAAAATTTGTCAAAATTAAATACTTATAAAAATAACGTATTTATTTGGATAAAGATTTATATAATGTTTATAAAAATACCTTCGCAAATAATGCATTATTTAAGAAGAAATTTAATTACCATAAAAAAGATTATATTGAGTTAACCTGAAAAGATAGACATATGTTGTCGAGGACTTATTTTTAGAACTTTTAAAGGAGAACAATTCTGTCGTACATATTTTTTGCGTAACTTTAACCGTTTAAGCAGCGCATTTAGCGGAAGCACTCCAAATTAATATTTTATGTTTCATTGCTTCATTGCTGCTCTACTCCTATTAGTCGTAGCGTGATGTTATATAGCCTATAGCACTCGGGGATAATATGCCTTTCAAACATGAAAGAATTTATATAATCAGGATCAGCAAAACCGGAGATTACACTGAACAAACAAACATTACAAACTTTACCACTCTATTATATTGATATAGATTCATATAGAAAGGTGACGGATGAAAGACGACTGCATGCAACTGAAATGCGAATGTTGAGGTGGATGTGTGGTGTGACAAGAATGGATAAGATAAAGAATGAATACATTAGAGGAAGTATGAAAGTGGCACTGGTGTCGGAGAGGTTGAAGAGTAATCGTCTATCATGGTATGGACATGTAATGCGTAGGAATGAGGATAATATTTTAAGGAAGGTGTTACATATGAATGTGGATGGTTATAAGGGCAGAGGAAGACCGAAAAAGAGATGGATGGACTGTGTGAAAGATGATATGGTAAGAAAGGAAATAACGCGATGACTGCGAACAGGGATGAATGGAAGAGAAAAACATATTACGCCGACCACAAATAAATGGGATAAGGAAGAAGCAGATGATGATGAATATTAATATAGATAGATAGAGTTTGCTCAGGATGTAAATGAAATAATTATCTAATCATCGGGTTGTTACCTTGATCAAATGCATGCGGAGAACTATCAGGTGGCCTAGCAGGAATTTGTGATGATTTTCAGCGTTAAAGAGAGCGAGCCTGCGGGCGTTGTACTCCACATTGTTGAGATTCTTCTCCAGGCTGTCGCGACATCCGTCAGGCTGTGAACATCATCACCATAATCATCATAATCACCATAATCAACACCGTCATCCTAATCATCATCATGTATACCACGGCCTCGGTGGTATAGCGGTTTAGCAGGCCTTACTTCCGATGGCCGCGGGTTCGATTCCTCGTACAGACATTATGTGTACATTACATTATTATGAATACGATTGTTTGTATCGGTCTGAGTGTTTTCTATATATATATATATATATATATATATATATATATATATATATATTGTGTAGTTTTAGACTTGTATTAATATCATGGTTTTAGATGGCGCTGTGTAAATTGTCCATGATTATTATTATTATTATCTCTACCAAATCTTTCATATATTTAACAGATGGCGCTGTGTAAATAATAACAAAATCCTAAAAACATTATCTATCTCTAGCTAAGCATCTTTGTTATTACTAGACAACTGATACACATGCATAGATATTTATGTTTTGTAAATACATAAATAATATACATAGAAAATGCCCTGGGATGTACCTGACACTGTCAATGCTATGATTACTAGGTCATTCCAACACTGTTATTGTAACCCAATTAATTTTTAAAGAAATATATTTTTTTTCTTTTTCATAGAAAACACCCAGACCAATACAAATAATCATACTCATGAATACAAATGTTTGTACCGTTCGAGTAATCGAACCTGCAACCATCGGAAGTAAACCGTAAAAGTAAGTCGTCAGATGTACTAACCTAACCTACCAAATCAACATAACAGTTAAAAACACCGGCGCACTGAAAATAACTGTTTGTATAGACAGTGCGTCGCTGTAATCATAGCGTCGTGGGCGAAATTAAAATCTTTTTAAGGTCACCGATGGAATGCGTTGCAACCAATGGCACGGTGACAGATGATCTCATCTAGATCACTGGGCCACAGAACAGGATGCTGACTGAGTTTACACGACTTGCACTAAGGCTGCACGGTTTTTCTTTAGTTTTGATTTCAGACACCGCGAATGCTGTTGGCCGCAGCTGGTCGCAACTATCACCGGCCGATAGGGTGCGAGTGCAGATGGCACTCCAAACCCGCGGAAGGACTTATGGAGCGGCTGAAAGCCAACTCCCGCCTGACGGATATGACTTCAGTCTGAGTGCACCGCTAGGGGTTCGAACCTCGGCTCAGGCCGTAGTAATATCGATCCCCGTTTGAATTGGACGGGGGATTTATTATTGTAAACAATATTTGAAATGAATACGAGCTGAGTTTCTTGTCAGTTCTTCTCATCTCAAAATCATTCCGAATTTATAGTATGTAGATTTAACATATCATAAGAGTCTGTAATAGACCTACATGAATAAAGATATCTTGATTTGATTTGATTGATTAGATACCAAAATACAGATCGTAAATCAATTCCAAACCAACATCACAGAACACCATCTCAAATGTAACAACGACAATTCTCAAATGCAATACAATAAATCTTTCAATAGGTCTGTTAAAATTTTATGTCGATCATTCAGTGCGGGTTTAAGCGAGTCATTCGCTTGTTTTACGGCCGCACATTTGTAAATAAACTCATTGTCAAGGTTCATTTTGTAGCGTAATGATTGACGCGCGGGTATTAAATATGTTTAAAATCTAATTGAAATTATGTGTTCGTTTATTTTAATACTAGCTTTTGCCCGCGTTAATTTATCCCCTTAGTGGTGGAATTTATCAAAATCCTTTCTTAGAGGATGTCTACGTCATAGTAGCTTTATGCATGCAAAGTCTCAGCCTGATCGGTTTAAAATTGACAACGTTTCATATAAACATTCATCCTCTATTTTATCCCTTTGGGGGTAGAATTAATCAAAATCCTTTCTTAGCGGATGCCTACGTCATAACATCTACCTGCATGCCAAACTTCAGCCCGATCCGTCCAGTGGTTTGGGCTGTGCGTTGATAGATCACTACGTCAGTCACCTTTGAGTTATATATATTTAGATAGATATGGCTTTTTCTCCGGGTGGATCCGCTCAGTACCAACTTGTTGTTATCGACAGATCTACCTTCCATTTAACCGCATTCAGAACTGATCACCCAGAATCATTGGTAATCAACGTCTTTGTGACAGACTCGACCCATTGGCTCTGCGGCGAAATATTACATCTCTGTGCATCACCACATATATCACTGGGAGTGTTCTGAGGAATTATTCGGATTAATACCAACTGCTGAGTTTCACCACTGTACCACCCGCCAGAAACCAAAATACCATCCTGATCATCTGGACGATTGGCGGCCCTCCACAGTGCGGTTTTTTAGAAACTTTTTGCCACGCACAACCACATTGTGGAATCACCTTCCAGCAATGATATTTCCGAACCGATACGATATTGAAACCTTCAAGAAAATAGCTTATTCCTTTTTAAAAATCCGACAACGCACTTACAATGCCTCTGGTGTTGCGGGTGCTGATGGGCGGCGGTAATCACTTACCATCAGCTGAGCCGCATGCTCATTTGTCCCCTGTGCTATAAAAAAAGAAGAGTCGTCTACTCTTCGAGGACGACACACTAGAGGCCTCAAAGTCTTAGTCACCAACGTAGTCTTGTCTATCCGTGTTCTATATTTTCAGATTTACTCTTATTAATTCTCAACCAATTGGTTGTATATTTAATATTTTCTTTATTTGAGTATTTAACTGAATTAGTGCTAGTTGGTAGTTTGTATTCACACACTTCAACTTAAAAATGTAATGTAACAACAAAATTATTTAAAAGAGCAACACGCAAGCAATTCTTGCTCATTCTTCTTATGATGAGACAGCTTTCCGAATGAGCGGTAGATTGAAAAAAAAATGTGGTGACTATTCCAAAGTGCTTCTATGTTGGTTAATTTGAATAAATGATTTTCTATTCTTATTCTATTCTATAGGCTGCATTTCGTCGATTGTGCTCAGCAACTCTATAACCTTATCTCGGTTGACCTCCACTCGGTTTTCCCTGGAAATCATCGTGTGAAATACCTGGAATTTATTACAATGAGCTAACTGACCGGACCTCAAGTTCATATTATCATATTCCATTCCCTGCCAGCGTAATCCGTTAGCGCAGGCGGGTGCACCATTCCATTATCATATACAAATATATCGTTGTTAGTCCCTGGTGTATTGATCAGCCTCTCTGACCTGACTTCATGCTCATCATATTCGTCATGTTGAATGTTTGAATTATTTCAATGGAATGTCATATCATTATATTTCCTGTTATCACAAAGCGGTGTACAAAGAAATTATCTTGTGCAAATATATCTAAATTAAGAAAAATGATAACGAATTCAAAGATATCAGTTTTGGATACAAATTATTTTAGGAAAGAATCATTGCACAGTGCATATATTTTTAAACATAGTATACTATCTGTTCCCGCGACTTCGTCCGCGTGGAATTTAACTTTATTTTTGTATAATAAAAATTGCCTAAAGAATTAAAAAATATTTTGTTCATCTTAATTTATTCGTTGCATTAGGTACTGATATGTTCAAACTAATACACTTACATCCTGTATCATCCCTTATTTTTATAAAAATCCTATTTAAGCGAACGTCTTCATCATAGTAGCTCCAATCTTTAATTTCAGTTCAATCAGTCGAAAATCTAAGAAGGTTTATACAAACTTTATTCCCCTATTTTATCTCTTTAGGGGTAGAATTTATCAAAATTCTTTCTTAGGGGATGTCTACGTCATAGTAGCTTTATGCATGCAAAGTCTCAGCCCGATCGGTTTAAAATTGACAAAGTTTCATCCCTTATTTTATCCTCTTGGGGGTAGAATTAATCAAAATCCTTTCTTAGCGGATGCCTACGTCATAACATCTACCTGCATGCCAAATTTCAGCCCAATCCGTCCAGTGGTTTGGGCTTTGCGTTGATAGATTACTATGTCAGTCAGTCACCTTTGAGTTATATATATTTAGATTAATAATAATATCCATTCATCCCACACAGTTCGCCATCTAGTTATTAAGTCGCTAAGCAAGTTTGGCTGTATATAAATAATTAGATTTTTTTAATTATAGAAAACACCCAGACCGATAGAAATAATCATATGAAACAAATTGTTTTGTCGTCGAACCTCTTTGATCTCAAACATCTCTTTGGTGTGTAATTCCATTTATTCATCAAATTTATCATCAGCTATTTATTCATGAATTCTCTGTTTTATCGAACATACTCTTCTTTTATTCATATGATTTTCACACAATTGGTTTTTTTCTTTGCGTCGCTCGGTTTACAAAATAAAATACTTAAAATATCGCGCGAAGAAAGATATTTTTTTATTTACCTGCCCCGCTCATAATGTGTTAATAATAATAATAATCATCTGCTTCTTCCTTATCCCATTTATTTGTGGTCGTCGTAATATGTTTTTCTCTTCCATTCATCCCTGTTCGCAGTCATCTCGTTATTTACTTTCTTTCTTACCATATCATCTTTCACACAGTCCATCCATCTCTTTTTCGGCCTTCCTCTGCCCTTATCATCATCCACATTAATATGTAACACCTTCTTTAGGATCTGATCTTCATTCCTACGCATTACATGCCCATACCACGACAGACGATTACTCTTCAACTTCTCCGACACCGGCGCCTTCATTCTTTATATTATCCATACTTGTCACACCACACATCCACCTCAACATTCGCATTTCAGTTGCATGCAGCCGTCTCTCATCTCTCTCTCTCAGTCGCCTCTCATCCATCGCCATAAAGGCGACGGACAAGACGACTGCATTTATTTTAATAATAATAATAATAATAATTATATGGGCTTGTAAATAAGTAATCATGTGCCAAATGCTACCGTTTGTAGATATTATTAGAATGTAAAGTGCGCAATAAAAGCTGACATTAAACTTTTGTAAGAAAGAAAAGACCTTGCATCATTGTTATGCACATGCATACCTTACTAGATAATTATCTACAGCCAGGGTTGAAGCAGTTACTAAAACATTAAATCATTGCATAGTATAAAACAAAGTCGCTGTCGCTGTCTATCCCTATGTATGCTTAAATCTTTAAAACTACGCAACGGATTTTGAAGCGGTTTTCTTTATTAGATAGATAGATTCAAGAGGAAGGTTTATGTGTATAATACATGTGCCTACACCCGTGCAAAGCCGGGGTGGGTAGCTAGTAAATATATATATATATAAGAAAGTTTAGAACAATATTCTATATCCTAGAAATACCAGAATATCTAATAGATAGGTACTAGCTAAAACCTATACAATGACACAGTTTACGAAAAATATGTGTATAAGAATTTATAATCGTAATTCTGAGACATTGAAGTAAGGAAAGGGAGAGGACGCACTAAAAAAAGATACACCCATCTCGTTGTTAGAGCGATCTATTTCGCCCTACTCAATTGTGGAAGCGGCTCCAGTTGCATTTAGTTGAGACGCTGTCTAAAGTAGTGCCAACCCTACTGATTTCGTGAAACGCCAATGATTTGCGTTTGTTCTTTCATTTATAATGTGGAGAATATTACGGAAGGTCATTTGTGACGTGGGACGACGAACTGTCCTAGTTATGCAGCCATCTGGCTTCATTAAACTGCATATGACATACGATCATACGTGGATATACGTGTGCTTGAAATTATTAATGAATGAACTACAACTAATGACAAGAAGTGTTACACAGTTCGTTTATTTTACAACTGGCTATTAAAAAAGCATCGTTTACTCTAAACTTATCAATCAATAAAATATATCCTAGACAAACATATAGAAGAAAAAGGAAATACAGCACCAACAGAAAAAGATAATATATTTTACATTTATACAGATACAATGGTAAACAACCTGCCAAACGACGAACGTCATTCTCTTTTTATATCATAGGAGACAAACGAGTTTGCGGTTCACCTGATGGTGAATGATTACCGTTTGCTGTTGCGGGTGGTCATGGGCGAGCACCCGTAACACCAGGTTCGTTGCAAGTGCGATGCCGGCCTTTTAAGAAGGTATAAGCTATTTTCCTGAAGGTTTCAATATCGTACCGGTGCGCAAATACCATTGCTAGAAGGTGATTCCTTTGGTCATTCTGTTGTTAAAGTTGTTATGCTTCCATATCTAACAATTTCAGTGCCGTAATTAGAGATCACATCACAATTTCTCAGCCCTTCAAAGAGAGGTGCTTACAAATCAGTCTGCTTAACGGCTGTAATAACTTAAAGTTGTCACAGTTTCTACTCTTAATAAGTCTGTCTCAATGAATTATGTCAGGTTGACACGCGGTGCCCCGTGGAAAACATTGTTATGAATTTCCGATGAATTTATCTCGATGGGCTAACTGACTTGACCATGATTTATATTATCATCCTCCACTGGTGCCTCGCCAGCACAAATCAGACATAAAACCCGATAACATAAAAGGAGCAAAACATTGTCGACTACATACAGACCAAGAGTAACCTGGCAATAAGGGTGACGCAGCTGGAATCGAGTCACAATGCAAACTCCAAAAAAGTTCGTGGCCCGGATCCCCACCAACATGCTACCCACCTTCATGAAGAAGGACTACTGACCGAAGGGGGTGGTGTATCGGGTTTACCGTGGCAGATTGTCGTCGTCAATGCCATGACCATAGAGTCAATTTAAATTTGAATTTTATTATTATTTCTTATGTATGTTAGTCTATAAGGTATTTATAATATGGGCTATGTAGCTTAAATTAAATAAATAAAAAAGTAAACCGCTAGCGCAGATGGGTGCACCATTCGATTATCATATACAAAAAAAACGTGTGTCTATGCTAGTTGAGAGGTCTGCCCCTTACCTCATTAATTAATTCTCTAAAATCAAAAGGCACAACAGTGCTAAATAGCATCCCTCATTACACCCTGTCCTCTTTAAATGAGATGTAGAGTCTCGTGTGCCAAGTCTATGATCTGTGATAAGCTAATTCATAGAAACAATACGTGCGTTGGCATACATCTGCATTGATTGTGGTGCAGTGATGTGTTTATTTATAACCGTGAACGCTACCGATAGAAGTCAAGGTAAATGTTGAGTTAATTCACGTAGGGGATACCTATCGTGAAAATTATTCTTCTCAGTTCCACCGTGATAGATAAAGAGATTTTTTAGATCGTCCGCATTACCTCAATCTCACCTATCTCATTTATAACCATGAAAGTTACCAATAGAAGTCAGGGTAAATGTTGCGTGGGAGTTAATTTACGTAGGGGATAACTAACGTGAAAATTATTCTTCACAGTTCCACCGAGATAGATAATTCGCTCGACTCTACGAGCAACACGCAAGTCTCTAGCTCGTTATTTACTAAGAGCAACACGCAAGTCTCTTGCTCGTTCTACACTAAGAGCAACATGTAAGTTTCTTGCTCGTTCTACACTGCGAGCAACATGCAAGTGTGTTGCTCGTTCTACACTACGAGCAACATGCAAGTGTGTTGTTCGTTCTGCACTAAGACGCAAATCTCTTGCTCGTTCTACACTAAGAGCAACACGCTAATCTCTTGCTCGTTCTACACTAAGAGTAACACGGATGTCTAGCTCATTCTACACTACGAGCAACATGCAAGTGTGTTGTTCGTTCTATACTAAGAGTAACACGCTAGTCTCTAGCTCGTTCTACACTAAGAGTATGTAATATTATGTTATCTGTGCTAAGAGCAACACGCAAGATTCTTGCTCGTTCTGCTTGTAATGACAGCTTTTCAAATGAGCGGTAGATTTAAAAAAATATGTAATATTATGTTATCTGTGCTAAGAGCAACACGCAAGATTCTTGCTCGTTCTGCTTGTAATGACAGCTTTTCAAATGAGCGGTAGATTTAAAAAAATATGTATTATTATTCAAAAGTATTTAATTTTTAGATTATTAATATAAATAATTTTCTATTCTATTTTAACAAACGAAAAATATCATATTAAATTCTAAAAATTTCTCAGCGTTTCATGGATCTAAAGTATGAGAGTCCATCGTACTACAGGAAAAGCGACATAGATTTTTTTTATTGAAACTTGAAACTATTTTATCAACAGTCCTTCTAGATAGAGGTAGGATTATTCGTGACTAATGCTCCGTTCCTGCATAATAGATATCAAATGTTTTGATGTAGGAATGCATCTGCTGGCCCAGATTTGGTTCAATGCTTTTACTAAACATCCATCTTGTTCGTTCAACGTGTAGTCCAGGGAATCTATTGCAAAACTATTTGTTCCGATAACTGTACTTATTATAATAAATCTAACGCATTTGTATGTTTGAATGCGTATAGTCAATGGAATTCAATAAAATTTAAAAATAAAATCTTTATTTTTGTAATCATGTCCAATTCATTTGAAAACAATAAGAGCTCAGTTTGTCGTCAGTTTTTCTTAGCTCGAAAGCGCTCCGAACTGACGGTAGATTTGAGATATCATAAGAGTCTGTAATATGCTTGACTACTACTAAATACAGTTGTCTAGTACCCATAATACATAGACTATAAACAATATTAATCTATCTCAATTTGAGCATAGATTTTAACAATAAAAAAAAGTATACATGCATGCGTGTGTCAAAACATGGTACTGTGTGTAGTTTTTTGTTACTTAATATGTTTTTGTGCTTTACGTTATAAAAATTTACACATACATTCGTATATATATATTTATATACTTATTAATTATAATATTACTGTATATACATAAATTAAATGAAATTATAATCTAAACATTAATACTCATCTCAATTTCTAATTGAATAATTTATAAATTATTAGCCGACCCCGCAAATGTTGCTTTACCTTATAAATTAAAATGACTAATAAAAAATAGGGGTTGGTGGTAGAAGGGTGAAAATTTAAGGCTGTATATATATTTTAATAAAAAAAAATTATCGAAAAAAATAAAAAAATCTTGTTGGTGTGAGCCATCCTTAAACACTTAGGGGTATAAAAATCAGACCTACTGTGTATACATATAAAATTTCATGAAATCTATTAAGACGTTTCGGAGGAGTATAAATTCGAAATCTGCGACACGAGAATTTTATACATTAGACTAGCTAACCCACCCCGGTTTCGCACGGGTGCACATGTATTATACATATAAACCTTTCTTTTGAATCACACTATCTATTAAAAAGAACCGATTCAAAATCCGTTCCGTAGTTTTAAAGATTTAAGCATACATGGGGACGGACAGACAGCGACATCGACTTTGTTTTATTTATTTATATATATTAGAAAACCTATGTTAATCATCATCTGCTTCTTCCTTATCCCATTTATTAGTGGTCGGCGTAATATGTTTTTCTCTTCCATTCATCCCTGTTCATAGTCATCTCGTTATTTACTCCCTTTCTTACCATATCATCTTTCACACAGTCCATCCATCTCTTTTTAGGCCTTCCTCTGTCTTTATAACCATCCAGAAAACCTATGTTAATACTAACCTATATTATACTATGTAATGATATTAGATTGAATACTTACAGCTTGGTCCACTTCCTTCTCTAATCCCTTCATCTTCTCGTCAACGAAGCCACTCATCTCAGAAAGGAAGTCTGCCAGGCGCACTGCATTCTCAGTCGCGTAATCATTATGTAATACCTGCACATCATCACGAGTGACTCGTATATCCTCGATTATCCTGGTGGAGTGGTTCTCTGCATCGATCTTGGGTGCAGGATTTGGTACTATGTCTATCCATGCTGAGTTCTGTGAAATTAGAAAGGTCCTTTATTTAATACTAGCTGTGCCCGCGGTTTCGCCCTTTAAATTCCAATAAAAATTTAGCCTATATGTTATTCTGATGCATAAGCTATATTACTGTAAAGTTTTATCAAAATCCGTTCAGTAGTTGATGCGTGAAAGAGAAACAAACAGTGGGCACAACTAGTTATATTATACTCACAAACTTTCCATACTCATAAATTTTCGCGTTTATAATATTACTAGCTGTGCCCTCGGTTTTACCCCCGTGAAATTTATAGCCCATACGTTATCCTGATATATATACTATATTAGTGTAAAGTTTCATCGTAATCCGTTCAGTAGTTTTTACGTGAAAGAGTAACAAACATCCATACTTACAAACTTTCGCGTTTATAATACAGTGGACCCCCGGTAGTCCGACAATCATTTTGCAGGACAGTGTCGGACTATCGAATTTGTCCGATTATAGAGTACTGCCTAAGACCCCTTATAGTCCGAATTTTTTTACAAAAGAGTACCTTGTAATCCGACAAATTATAGATCCAATAATGATTCTTTATATTATATACATATACAGTGGACCCCCGGTTATCCGACAAACGTTTTGCAGGGCAGTGTCGGACCATCGTATTTGTTGGATTATAGAGTGCTGCTTAAGGGTCCTCTGCTTATAGTCCGGAATTTTTTACAAAAGAGTATCTTGTAATCCGACAAATTACAGATCCAGTGATAAGATTCCATGTTATATATGTATGTATGTATATGCACTCTGAGGTATATTGTCAAAATAATATTCAATAACAAATAATAGACAATGTCGGATTACAAGGGGGGCCGGATTAGACAGGGGCCGGATTACCGCGGGTCCACTGTATTAATGAGATATTAAGTCGCATCGTCATTCGCTTACGTGACTCCGGAGGAATACAACCCCGGATTTTTCAAGTCTATGATTAATATATTTATTCTGGGTAAGCACGCTATGTTCTAGTTCTCGTCCCCTCCGATCCATCCTCCGTCCAATTCAACGGGGATCGATGTTACGACGGCCTGCGCCGAGGTTCGAACCCCTAGTGGTGCCCTCAGACTAAAGTCGTATCCGTCAGGCGGGAGTTGGCCTTCAGTCGCTCCATAAGTCCTTCCGCGGGTTTGGAGTGCCATCTGCACTCGCCTCCTAACGTCCGGTGAAGCTGTAAAGGCCAGCAGCGGCCTACAGCATTAGAGTATTTTTTATTAGATGAGGTAATATGTAGATATAGTGATGCTACAACGACCACGGCAATATACCTGTCCCGCTTACACTACGCCACCAAGGAGCAGGACATTGTCGACTACGTATGGACCAGGAGTAACATGACTGAAGGTGACGCAGCTGGAATCGAGTCATAATGCGAGTTTCATGTTGTGGCCCGAGTTCTCACCAACATGCTAACCACCTTCATGAAGGAGGACTACTGACCGTAGGGTGTGGTGTATCGGCGCTACCGTGGCAGACTGTCGTCATCAGTGCCGTGACCATAGAGACAATTTATATTTACTTTTCTATTGATTATATCATTCATATATATGTTAGTCTGTAAGGTATTTATCATATGGGCCACTAATAGCCTGAATAAAAAAAAAAAATATGCGACACTATAACACCTACAAGGTTAGCCATCGCCGTTGGAATGTGGGTAGAATGCGAAACCTGACTCCAGCAAAGGTGCTTGCAGGTACACCGTGTGGTTTTTTAATGGGTACATATCCCACAAATAGGGTTGACAAACGTATAAATTGGTTTGAATATGAAAAAATTAAATTATTAGGAAAAACAAGTATTTTTCAAACATCTCTTTTTTGCATTAAAAACGTATTCTTGTGTGCTTTTAACTCTAGAGATGTGTCAAATGTCACAACTCACAATTGACATCTAACATTTCGTACAGCAATTATAAATCGTTAAATACCCATAATGAGTATTTTGTTTTACGTATCACAGTAAAGGTTGAAAATAAAGTATTTTTGCATACTTTATGTAAAAGTGTAAAGTATAATTACCAAAAATAAAGTAGGGTACATTATTTTAAAGTATGGTTGGCAACACACCACCTCGCCATCCCTCCGGCATGACAGCCCTTGTAATTTTTCCACACGTTAAAAAATAGGTTACCCTAATAATCTAGAGACTACAGCACGTAATCAGAGTTTCCAGTTATATGAAAAATAGTATACGGATAGTAAAAAAATTAAAATTATGTAGTTCGGAAGACGTTTAATGTTTCCTTTGTGACGTCTTAATAGTAACGTTAGTGCAATAACTGGGTTTACTGCGTCTACTAGTATAGTCTGCAAGGCCGCTTAGAATCTCTCACTTGAGTCATTGCCGAGAGTTATGTAAATTTCAGGTTTGAAACATGTGTATCTAATTTGTAGTAAATAAAAAATAAGATCTTCAATTTATGCAAATAAAATGAAACTTATTATATAAAATGAACTTAACTTCAAACTCCCAGAGTCTGTAGTCAATTTGCCAGAAAAAAATTCAAATGTGTTATAAAATATTTTCTTTGTAAAAAAGCTTATTATAATATTGAAGAATTTATAAATGATAATAATGTTTTTGTAGAAAATATCTAACTTAAAATTCATAGTGCTGACAATGTTGTCTGATTGAACAGAGATTAAGTGCGTAGCGGTTTTTTTTTTGTATTCTATGTTGATTGTCGCATGCCTAATCTTTGTTGTTAATTAAATATTATATTAAAGATACTATACAATTAAGTAGTCAAAAACATTTTTTCATTATTTTTATTCCTTCTTCATCTTCTAATGAGGTCATGGCCACTGTCTGTTCGCTTATGGTAAACGGATACCGTAGCCTTTCGACGCCTGATACACCAGAGGTATCACGTACTCGTTGCAGACCCATTTTTGCTAAACCGTGTTTAATTAGTTTTAAAATGTTGTTTTTTATTTATTACTAGCTGTTCCCGCGACTTTATATTAATTTTCTAAAATAAAACTAACCTAAGTTACTTTATTACATCAGCTACCTGCCAAAAAAATCCCGTCAAAATCGGTCCAGCCATTTCAGAGATTAGCCGGAACAAACAGACCGACAAAAATTGTAAAAAGTGTTTTTTTTGGTATATGTACCGTATTATTCGTATGAATGTAATAAAAACGGTTATTTCAATATTACAAATAGAAACTCCAATTTTATTTATATGTATAGATTATAACACAGGGGACAAACAAGCATGCGGCTCACCTCATGGTAAGTGATTACTCTACTAATCACCGTTGAAACACCAGGAAATTGCATTTTCGTGGAATCCCTTGAATGGCAATATCGTGGGATTCCACAAAAATCATTGAAACATGTTTATGCATTTTGTGGATCCATTTCTTGTTGTACAAACAAATACTATATTATTGCTCATAAAATTTTGTTACTAGACGAGATGAGAAATGTGTCGTAAACTTATACGCGAACAAGAATCAAAAGACGCCACGTGGATTGCATTTGAAATCTAGATATTTAGCCTTGAAGTTATGGGACCTAGTTATTTTAAACTATAATACGTCATCGTGTATAAAAACAAGGTTTACGGCATCGTAATGTCATGAACTTAAAATAATTATGAAACGGTTTAACGGCCGCACTTCCTTTGCAGTGGATATTTAATGTTTCCATGGGAGTCCTCATTGCATTTTCTCGCCCTTTTTCAACAGCATCTGCTTCTTCCTTATCCCATTTATTTGGGGTCGGCGCTAGTGTTTAGCAGAACGCCTTACTTCCGATGGTCACGAGTTCGATTCCTCGCACGGTACAAACGGCACGGTACATTTGCATTCATGAGTATGATTATTTGTATCGATCAGGATGTTTTCTATGTATATTATATATTATATGTATTTACAAAAATAAATCTATGCATTTATGTCAGTTGTCGAGTACCTATAACACAAGCTCTGCTTAGCTTGGGAATTGTCCTGAGATATTATTATTATTTTTATCTTTTTTTAGAAATTTAAAAGAAGATAATACTCAGCCACTAAAAAATAATTTAAAAAATACTCACCCATACGGGTCTTAGCCAAGTGTGGGAGAGCTTGTACTGTGTGAATCATATTCAGGAAATCAAGAATTTTTTAATTATGTGACAGGTATTTAGCACTGTGGCTTTTTTTAAGAGATATTTTTATTATTTATGTTGAGATAAGAACCTGCGTCCCATGTATTAATAAATCATCTATCGTTATAGTAGATAGTAACTATGTCATAATAGAAAGTGTTGCCGATAGCAACCTTTTTGATGGTTTTTATATTTTTTATATATACTTGAATTTTTGTGTTCCATTTGGGAGTCGTGTCGTATCAAGAATTAAAGAGCATGATGGAAGATCGCGGAAAGTGGAAGAGCTCCACCGACAAGAGCGTAGCTCTTAAATTATGAATGAATGAATGAATTTCTTATACCATATTCATTGTCCTTATATTTTTGCTAGTGAGCTGATTACACTTATTTTACCTCACCTAGGAACGTGTCTCATTTTTAACCAGCCTTAATACAGTCCTTCCATAAAACAAAGTATAGCTTTGTGTTATGATATAGTTACTATCGTATATCGTAATATATGATAATTAATTACATAAGTTTTTGTATTGTTCTTTGCATATATGTAGACTAGCTGTACCCGGGATTTCATCCGCGTGGAACTTAAGTTTATTTTTTAAATAAGAGTAGCCTAAGTTAATCCTTATTACATCAGCTAGCTGTATCCGCGATTTCATCCGAGTGGAACTTAAGTTTATTTTTGAAATAAGAGTAGCCTAAGTTACTCCTTATTACATCAGCTACCTGCCAAAAAAAGTCCCGTCAAAATCGGTCCAGCCATTTCAGAGATTAGCCGGAACAAACAAACAGATAGACAGACAAAATTTGTTTAACTTTATTTTTTTAAATAAAAGTAGCCTAAGTTACTCCTTATTACATCAGCTACCTGCCAAAAAAAGTCCCGTCAAAATGGGTCCAGCCATTTCAGAGATTAGCCGGAACAAACAGACAGACAGACAAAAATTGTAAAAAATATTATTTTGGTGTATGTACCGTATTTATATTCATATGAATGTAGTAAAAAAAGGTTATTTCAATATTACAAACAGGCACTCCAATTTTATTTATATGTACCAATTAGAAATCCGTTGTTTTTTTCAACAGACACTCCAATTTTATTTATATCTATAGATTATTTATTATATTAACGAGTAGTTTTATATCTAAATAACAGTGTTAATAACAAGATAGAGTCCCACCAACCCCTGTACAATATTAGCCCGGGGGTAATCGAGGGGCGATATGGTTGACCTTGACGCTTGACTTTACGACTTGTAATTGTGACGCATCTGATGACTCCTACATATATTTATTGGGGAAAAGGAGATTTATAAGTAATGTGGATTAATAACCATTGCTAGGAATGAACCATGTCAGGTTGACCTCCACGCGGTTCCCCCTGGAAACTATCGTCATAAATTCTTGGTGAATTTGTCATGATGGGCTAACTGACCTGACCTCATGCTCATCTTATCATCCTCCACTGGTGCCCCGCCAGTGTAAACCGTTAGCACAGGCGGGTGCATCATTTCATTATCATATACAAAAAAAATATATATATATTTATTGGGGAGAAGGAGATTTATAAGTAATGTGGACTAATAACCATTGCTAGGAATGAACCATGTTATTATAAACAGACATTCCAATTTTATTTATATGTATAGATAAGAGTAATAAGTAAATAGTTTTGTTTAGTTAGCACTTGGTATACCGGAAAATCAAGGCCGATAGTGATAAGGATTATTATTTCATCTGAAATCTACATAACTTCGATAATATTAAAAAAGTAAACATGTAGAAATAGAAATAGAAATAATCTTCATTCAAATAAACTCATTACAAGCACTTTTGAATAGTCATATTTTGATTCTACCACTCTTTCGGAACAGATTCATCACAAGAAACTTGTGTGTTGCTCTTTTGAATAGATGTTATTATTTTATATAAATAATTACACAATAACAAGTAAGAGGCATACGATAATCAACATAGAAATCGCTACACACTCATTCTTAGTGCAATCATATTGTGAGAATAAATTAAAATAATACATATTATACATAGAAAACGTCCACATCAATACAAACAAACATACTCATGAATACAAATATTTTGCATTGAAGGTTTGAATCTCTAGCTGTGCCCTCAGACTACAGTCGTATCCATCAGGCGGGAGTTGGCCTTCAGCCGCTCCATAAGTCCTTCCTTGGTTTGGAGTGCCATCTGCACTCGCCCCCTATAGTCCGGTGAAGCTGTAAAGGCCAGCCGCGGCCAACAGCATTAGAGTAATCAAAAAAAACTACAGTTTGTATATTTGTTTGTTCGGGGTAATCTCCGGTTCTGTTGATCGGAGTCGGAGTCGCGGGAACAGTAAATAAATAATCCTGAATCATTGACACAGCGCCATGGCCCCAAGGTAAGCAGAGCTTGTGTTATGGGTACTAGACAACTGATATATATATACATAGATTTTTTAAATACGTACGTAATATACATAGAAAACTTATTATTAGACCTGTGTGATGCCGGGGCGGTTTGCTAGTTATGATATTTATTTATTTATTTATTTAAGATAAGGTACTCACCACACTTACAGATATACCAAAGAATGTGACATAAGATATTAGCTATGTTAATGAAATTCAATTAGTCATTAAATATTGTGAAATATATACATAGGAAGACTAACATAGAGATAACATGTTGAAGATAAACTCTAATTCAGAAGTGGATTGATACATTTTTGTATAAGTGAAAATAAGTAACAAGGGTGGAAATACATCGTAATTAGCTGTGCCCGCGGTTTCATCCTTTAAATTTCAATAAAAAATGCGTATGTGTTATTCTGATGCATAAGCTATATTACTGTTAAGTTTCATCAAAATCCATTCAGTAGTTTTTGCGTGAAAGCGTAACAAACATCCATACTTTCGCGTTTATTATATTACTAGCTGTAGGTACCCGCGAATTCGTCCGGAATTTAACTTTATTTTTCTATAATAAAAGTAGTCAAAGTTATTCCTTATTACATCAGCTACCTGCCAAAATAAGTCCCGTCAAAATCGGTCCAGCCATTTCAGAGATTAGCCGAATCAAACAGACAAATATACAGACAGACAAAAATTGTAAAAAATGTTATTTTGGTGTATGTACCGTATTTATATTCATATGCAGGTAGTAAAAAACGGTTATTTCAATATTACAAACAGACACTACAATTTTATTTATATGTATAGACTAGCTGTACACGCGAATTCGTACGGATTTCAACTTTATTTTTCTAAAATAAAAGTAGCTTAAGTTACTCCTTATCACAACAGCTACCTGCCAATAAAAGTCAAAACAGACAGATAGACAAAAATTGTAAAAAAACATTTTCGTGTATATATCATATTCATATTCATATGCATGTAGTAAATAACGGTTATTTCAATATTACAAACAGACACTCCAATTTTATTTATATGTATAGATTAGAATCAGGATTAAGACTAAGATGTACATAAGTAGATTAATCATAAAAAGTTGAAGATAAACTATATTTCTGAAATGAGTTTAAACTTTTTCTTTAAGTGAAAATAAGTAAAAAAAAAGGTGAAAATAAATTAAAATTTCCACTCACCTGCGCTATAGAGACGCCGGCGAGAACAAAACACCAAAGCACAGTAACTGTGTTACGACCGAACATGCCTGACGGACTGCGGGACTGCTCTGTTTAACAACTAAACTCGCTATATGCAGAGTTGCCATGTACTAGAAAGATGTACCCATAAAACGTGTACGCTACCAGTAGCGTTGCCAGATGTCCCGTATTTCCCGGGACGTCCCGTATTTCAGGCTTGGCGGGACTGACTCTGTCCCGTATTTGAAATCGTGCTCCGTTTTTTATTATTACAGAGGCAATAAGAAAAAGCGTTTTTTATTATTAGAGAGACAAATTAGGCTAAACAAAAATACTCACGCACGCAAAGTTCATATCCCTAATTTAATAAAAAGCGAGTCGATAACCGTTTTTAATTACGATTATAATTGTATAGATTTTTATAAATATGTTAAAATCAATAAAAATACGGGACTGACTCTGTTCCGTTTTCGAATCGTGCTCCGTTTTGTTATTATTAAATCGATCTATGCTGGACAAAAATACTCTCGCGCAACGTACGTATCCCTAATTTAATAAAAAGCGAGTTTTTGACCGTTTTTAATTACGATTATAATTGTATTGATGTTTATATATATGTTGAAACCAATAAAAATATGTTAAAACGGACTCGCTCCTCAGAAAAATATATAAAAACTCTATTCAATTGTCAATTAATTTCAATAATTTCATTTTCAATGATTCAACTAATTGAACTCTTCAATGATTGGGAAGTGAGCAGCGCGAGAGTGTAAACCCGAGGGGAAACACTTCCCATGCCATTGGCGCTGCCACTCGCGCTGCCCGACGCTCCCTCGATTGTCGAGACATTTCGTGCGCGAGTCAAAGGATAGCGCGAGTGGCAGCGTGTTTTTACATTCAGCCCTCTCGCTCAGGTGTCGACCGGCAGTATTTCAGGCAGCGCGAGTGGCTGGGGAAGCGGCTAATAAATGTAAACGTAGCATCCGTAGCCGACCGAAAAAATATCTGACAACTCTACCAACCTCATTCACAACACAAATACATTTACTAAACAGTATGTAGTCGAAAGAAATTTATTCGCTTAAATTATTTCATTTATTTATTTATTTATTTTTAGGTAGGCTGTATACAATTTATAGACAATATTACTATTATATATATATAAAAATTACTGTTAATATTATGTTATTGAAACTCGGCTTGACACGCTGCCGCGTGTCTAGATCTGTGGTATTACATAATTAGTAAAGCTAATAACAGATATGTAATCTTTAATATTAAAGTTATAATTAAATTGGTTATTTAAAAACAATACATATTAAAACATTTAAACAGATCAGAGCCAAAGATATAATAACAGGATATGGTGAATACAATTAGTGAATTACGTTACAAATCTATATGTACGTACCTACATATAAAAATGTGTTTCTGTGTCAGGTAAAAAATATTGTCATGACATTCCTAAGTACTTGTTACAAAAATTTGTCAGTAATGGGTAGAAAACTTTATGGACATTCAATTGAGGTGTTTTCATATTCCCTATAGAGCAAGAAACGACTGCCAGACATACGTCATTTTAGTAAACGTGAAAGTTCTTGTATGTGTGTCCCCAACACAGGTAAGAACGATCCCCAAACATGAAACCTGGATCGTGGTTCCTTTGGCAGGTACCAGGTAACAAAGGTGTAAAAAAATTCATATCAAATTCGTTATTTTAAGAAACTCCATATTTTCATATGTTGTTCGTAGCATTATTATAATTTGCGCTGCTCATTGCCAGACACGTAGTGTGGTTCCAACCCCCCGCCGGACCCCCTAAACTATACTATTTTAGAAATAAACTTACGTCATTTTAATAAAGCTGAAATTTATATATATTATTGAGAGTTCTCTCAAACTGAGTTTCCTAAATTGCCAGACAGTTTTCTTGGTTCCTTATCCTACCAAACTCATTGAAACCGTATATTGGGTAACAACGGTGTATACAATTTCATATCAAATTCGTTATTTTAAGATACTCCATTTTTTCACATATTGCTCGTAACAGTATTATAACTTGCTCTGCCCATTGCCAGACCCTTAGTGTGGTTCCAACCCCCAATACTATACTATTTTATAAATAAATTTACGTTATTTTAATAAAGCTGAACTTTATATATGTTATTGAGAGAACTATTAAACTGAGTTTCCTAAATTGCGACAGCTGCTCCACTCCGCTGCTGCTGCGACTTTGTCCGTGTGGAATTAAACTTTATTTTTCTAAAATAAAATTATACCTAAAGAACTAAAAATTGTTTTGTTCGTCTCATTAGGTACTGATAGGTTCAAACTAATACATTTACAACCTGTATCATCCCTTATTTTATCCCCATGGGGGTTGAATTTATCAATATCCTATTTAAGCGAATGTCTTCATCATAGTATCTCCAATCTTTAATTTCAGTTCAATCAGTCGAAAATCTAAGAAGGTTTATACAAACTTTCATCCCCTATTTTATCCCCTTAGGGGTGGAATTTATCAAAATCCTTTCTTATCGGATGCCTACGTCATAACATCTACCTGCTTGTTAAATTTCAGCCCGATCCGACCAGCGGTTTGGGCTGTGCGTTGATAGATCACTATGTCAGTCACCTTTGAGTTATATATATTTAGAACTTTTTTTACTGTGGACTTTCCAGCAGAACTCTGCACGTGGTCCCAAGGCATTCACTACCCAAGCCTGGCTTGAAACTGAAGACTGGCTCTCATCTAGCCCAGACGTCAACTCTTTAGACTTCAAATTATGGTCAGTTTTAGAGGACATGGCCTGCTCTAAAAAACACGGCATTATTAAGTCTGTTAAACAATCTTTGAAGCAAGCAGAGGCGAAATTTCCCTTGGTAACAGTGCGTAAATCCATAGATGCGTCACCTAATGGATTAAAGGCCTGTATAAAAGCCACAGGTAGCCATTTCGAATAGAGGTATAAATTTTACACCTTAAACAAATTACCATAGCGCTATGGTAAACTGCACTACAATCTATACATATAAATAAAACTGAAGTGTCTGTTTGTAATATTAAAATAACTGTTGTTTACTACATGCATGTGAATATAAATACGGTACATACACCAAAATAACATTTTCTACAATTTTTTCTGTCTGTCTGTTTGTTCCGGCTAATCTCTGAAATGGCTGGACCGATTTTAACAGGACTATTTTTGGCAGTTAGTTAATGTAATAACGTAACTTAGGCTACTTTTATGTTAGAAAAATAAAGTCAAATTCCACGCGGACAAAGTCATGGGTACAGCTAGTTATCAATATAATACTCAGCAGTAGGTACATTCCACTTATACAAAATATTTACAACCGAAATGGTTTTGACAACGAACGCCAATAAAATCCACATACCAACACGTCTGCTACCGTATTAAATAACAAACAAACATACGGAACCTGCTATTAATATTATAATGATCTTTTCAATACAGAGTATGACGGATGAACGGAAATACATGTTCGGCGCGTGTTCACCACTGCTGAACTATATTATATATATATACTACTACTATACTGATGTTATAAAACTGAAGAGTCTGTTTGTTTGTTTGAACGCGCTAATCTCAGAAACTACTGGTTCGAATTGAAAAATTATTTTGCGTTGGATAGTCCATTTGTCGAGGAAGGCTTTAAGCTATATAACATTACGCTACGACCAATAGAAGTGAAGCATCAGTGAAAAATGTTGCAAAAACGTAGAAAATTATTCATATTTGAGGGTTTAAGTTGCATGCGCTAGGTAAACGGTTGAAGTTACCCACAAAATATGTATGAAGTGTTTTTGGTAACATCGCGAACGAAGTCGCCGGCACAGCTAGTATACTAGCCGTCCCAGCAAATGTTGTTTTGCAATAAATTAAAGTAAATATCGCTATTAAAAAATAGGGGTTGATGCTAGAAGGATGAAAATTTAGGGTTGATCAAAGAAAAAGAAAAATAAATATGTAAGTATGAAAAATAGATAGTAGCTGATTCTCAGATGAGTGTACATATAAAATTAAATGAAAATACTATTAGTTGTGCTGTTCCTGTATATTGGCGTTTCTATCAGGTTGTACCTTACGAGGAATCGAACTCGCGACCATCAGAGGTAATGCTAAACCGTCGACCGAATCGAGGCAGTCGATAAAAAGTCGACAAGAAAGGAAAATTAAAAACTCATGTAATTTACCCAAACTGTATTAAACAAATCTATATTCAGGATCTACTATCACAATTTAAAATCAACTGTAACTAAATTAGCATAGAATTCAAAACAGCTTAACCAATAACGGAAGCTTGGTACATGGAGATTATTAGAAATCCCATAGCGTAAATGACCAGCACGATGTCCATTGCAGTAGCGAAGATGTCCCTGGCTAGATGGTCTTCAGCCAATCTGCGAATACGGTCCTTAACTCTGTCGCAGACGGTTGCTATTTGCGTGAAGAACAATTCAGCGGTGTTCAGTAACGTGCTGAGGAAAAAATAAAAGAATGTAATTATATTATTTTGTTTAATTTCGCTACCATTAGCATGCGTGAGACCACAAAAATTCAGTACGGAAACCTGACCACGGCTACAGGAAGCGACCTTCTCTATTGGTGATCAAATTCCGATCCCACAAACATTCTGTGAGGAAACCTGACCACCGCTACTGGAAGCGTTACGACCTTCTCTATTGGTGATCAAATTCCGATCCCACAAACATTCTGTGAGGAAACCTGACCACCGCTACTGGAAACGTTACGACCTTTTCTATTGGTGATTAAATTCCGACCCTACAAATATTCAGTGAGGAAACTTGACCATCGCTACTGGAAACGTTACGACCTTCTCTATTGGTGATCAAATTCCGACCCTACAAATATTCAGTGAGGAAACTTGACCACTGCTACTGGAAGCGTTACGACCTTCTCTATTGGTGATCAAATTCCGAACCTACAAACATTCAGTGAGGAAACCTGACCACTGCTACTGGAAGCGTTACGACCTTCTCTATTGGTGATCAAATTCCGATCCCACAAACATTCAGTGAGGAAACCTGACCACCGCTACTGGAAGCGTTACGACCTTCTCTATTGGTGATCAAATTCCGACCCTACAAACATTCAGTGAGGAAACCTGACCACCGCTACTGGAAGCGTTACGACCTTCTCTATTGGTGATCAAATTGCGACCCTACAAACATTCAGTGATGAAACCTGACCACCGCTACTGGAAGCGTTACGACCTTCTCTATTGGTGATGAAATTCCGACCCTACAAACATTCAGTGAGGAAACTTGACCATTGCTACTGGAAGCGTTACGACCTTCTTATTGGTGATCAAATTCCGACCCTACAAACATTCAGTGAGGAAACCTGACCATTGCTACTGGAAGCGTTACGACCTTCTCTATTGGTGATCAAATTCCGATCCCACAAACATTCTGTGAGGAAACCTGACCACCGCTACTGGAAGCGTTACGACCATCTTATTGGTGATCAAATTCCGACCCTACAAACATTCAGTGAGGAAACCTGACCACCGCTACTGTAAGCGTTATGACTTTCTCTATTGGTGATCAGACTCCGACTATTGGAGAGAAGGGTATAGTTAGTAATAGGGTCTAATGTCCCCATTGTTAACAATGTTACCATTGCTAACAAAGTAGTCAGGTTGACCTCCACGCGGTTCCCCCTGGAAACCATCGTGTTAAATTCCTGGTGAATTTGTCATGATTGTGGGCTAATTGGGCTGAAATATGGTCGAGCGCAGTGATGGCTGGCTCATCCGACCTCATGTTCATCTTATCATCCTTCACTGGTGCCCCGCCAGCGTAAACCGTTATTGCAGGCGGGTGAACCATACCATTATCATCCATGAAAAAACAATTCCGACCATTATTGAACCTCAGTTTCGCCTCTGAATGAGGCATCATCAGGCAATAGATAGAGGTCAGATGTAGCTTGAAAGCCTAGTCTTGACTATTTGTCAACCAATCTGCAACAGTTTCAATTGGATTTCTGCAAAATAACCCATAGTTTTTAGTCACAAATATTGAGTTTTTTTTGTCATCCTCCACTGGTGCCCCGCCAGGTGTTTTTTAGATGAGTTTTTTGTGTCATAAATATAAAAAAATTAATTATTCAAACTTTAAATTATGGATATCGAAATCAATAGTTCACTTTTTTATCACTAACACAAGTTTTTTTATTTCAGTTTCATTATCATCATCACCTGATGATGTTGTTAATAAAGTAATTTTAAAATGATGTGGGAGAAAACAACACAAAATAATTTCATCATATATGACATGTTTTCATATTGCCACTTTTAAACAAACTAATTTTTTTTACGATAGGGATACCTACGGATGAAAAAAACGGTTAAAATTAGCTGGCTACTACCAATATTCGAAAAAATGACAAGAAACTATACCAAAACACATTTTTTAAATGGATCTTACTCTATATTAGAATTGATAAAAGACAATCATACACGGTGTTATTACAAAAGATAAACCTGGTTTCAAACTCGTATAAACCATTGACCAAAGTATTCCTTATTACAAAACGATTTTTATCTACAATGTTCATATTAATATTAGATAGACACCCATAAATAATAATACATTAATATTTATAGAAATTCCTTTTATTTATTTCTAAGTCTAAAACGACTTACAAAACAAAAATACTTCAAACTTATTTTGTTAAAAAATTACTTATCAAACCCAAAAATAAATATTCAGTTAGCGACATCTAGTATTAAAATGGGATACTAGCAACAACATGACTTGGACTGTGCTTTATGCTACAAACTTACTCGCAGTATGAACATTCAGCGATAAAAATTCCAAATTTGTAAAACAGATGGCAGTATGCCCCACACCACTGCTACTATTTTTTATCTACAACATATATTTAGGTTTAACTATATTTTTTACATGTTTGCCAGGATGCTATTTCTCAAACTACCTTCAGAACCTATTTAATACGACAGTTTGTAAGTATTTAAAGATGTTTGTTATGTGTATGGATGGACGCAAAACCTACTGAATGTATTGTAATGAAACTTCATAAAAGTAATTTAGATTATACAATACAATAACATATATGCTTCAAATTTAACGCGGGTGAATTCACAGGCACAGCTAGTATTTCATAAATATTACAATAAAAGAATTAATAACAAAGTGGAATAATTAGTCAAGCTTTCTTTTTAAAATTGAATAAATATTTGTAGTTTATAAAAAAAGGTAATTAAACTAAAGCACCTACCTAGGAGTGCATCTCCAGCCAAAATTTACGTTGTTGAAGCTGAACAGGGGCAGTACCATCGCCAGGATGTACCACATGTCAGTACTACCGATTGACGATGGAGTGACCATGGTGGACCGCTGAACTGCTGCCACTCTGTTAGGATCAACCAGAAGTTTATGGCATCGTATAGTTATTATATGGTGTTCTAGGTGTCATATTTGTACATAGTATAAAACCAAGTCGCTGCCGTTGTTTGTTCGCTTATATCTTTTAAACTACGCATTATTTCTTGCAGATTTCAACGCAGTTTTCAGCAATAGATAAATAATTATTACACAACGCCATCTAGACCCAAGTTAAGCTAGCTAAAGCTGTGTTATGCGTTCTAGATAACTGATACAAATAATTTTTCTTTAGTAAATAAATCAATATTATGTACATATAGAAAACACCTAGAACGATACAAACAATCATACTCATGAATACAAATGTTTGCACCGTGAGAGGAATCGAACCCGCGCGGTGAGGTTGCTCCGTGAAGCCTATGAAGACATTAGGAGACTGCGCTTTTAGAAGCAGCTCGGCTGGCTACTCTAGTAGTCTCTCTTGTTAACGTGTATTCAGATATAACGTTCAAATATTAGACCTAAAATGACTCATTATAAAAAATAGTAAAGTTAAGTTTAGGGGGCATTTTTTTTAGGCGTGACAATGAAGTGGACGCTAACGGTTTACTATCACAACAGCCCAGATGAGCCGATTCATCCGAATCACCCGATTGCGGAGACTGGTGTTCAATTTACATTACAAGAAATCAGTATTGAAATCCAGTTGCCTACCTACTGCGTTGAACATCCGTACTCTCCGTTGGAGTTCCTGCCATCCAAGTGTCCATAGCATAGCTGAACTGACTCCGGCCGCTTGTTAACGTGTATTCAGATGACGAACGTGCATTAATCTAAAAAAACATCACTTATTGGACCTAAAATTTTCTAATGATTGTAAACTCTAATACGAACGTGTTACAATTCAAAATCATTAATATAAAAAATTACACTGTCTAAATTGAACTTAAGATCGTTATTGAAAGTTAAGATCTTCTTTATCGGTGTTTACGGCTACGCTGTTTTCGCCTCTGCATTTTTTTTAGGCGTATAATGAAGTGTACCCGCCTGCGCTAACGGTTTACGCTGGCGGGGCACCAGTGGAGGATAATAAGATGAGCATGAGGTCAGGTCAGTCAGCTCATCGTGACAAATTGACCAGGAATTTATTACGATGGTTTCCAGGGGGAACCGCGTGGAGGTCAACCTGACTACTAGCAATAGGGGTCAACATTCCACATTATAAACAATCTGCTCTCCCCCCCGTCTCTGCATTTGGCATCATCAGCTCTTGGAGACTTCGTCGTTATGGTCTGTTATCATCGTAGTTAACTCTTAGTCACTTTGTCACGATGGACAAACTGACCTGACGCCATATCCACCTTATCATCCTCCACTGGTGCCTCGCCAGCGTATACCGTTAACCCAGAAGGGTGTACCATTCCGCTATAACATTACTTGATTACTCAGCTGACATTCTTCTACATTCTCTCTGGATATATTTTGAAATGATATCCTTGGATTCAAAGAATTTGATTCATTATTGAATGCGCCATCTCTTGCCACTGCGGAAGCCATTTTGCTATATTACATTAATGTAACGCATGCCAGTTCAAGCTGGAATAGTTATAATGTAATAATTGTGTCAGAAACATTTTAATTTGGTTATAAATTGAAATTGTTTAATGAAAATGGTGTTTATTTTGATAAATCATTGAGATGTAATATATGTCAATATGACATTCTATTTCTTATTATTTGTACATATGTACATATAATAAAACAATAGAGGTCGAATTCATCTGTACATAGAAAAAAACGCCTAAAACAAAGTCAGAGAGATTTTAGAAGTAATAGAACATAAATTAAATTTTCAAATTTATTGTTTCTCTACCAGTTTGTACACGCTAATCTCGGAAATTGATGGACCGATTTAAATGCAATTTTGCATGAAGGTAGCCTATATCCTCGGTCAACATCTTAGATACTTTTAATCACGGAAAATTAAATAGTTCCCGTGGGATAGTTAAAAATCTAGAGTACAGATGTGTACTAATCTAAACATCTACTTAAGTAATATCATTTTGAGCTTAGACAAAGAGTGAGAGCGATTTGTTAATTTTGGTGCAGTATTCCAAGTCGAGGTGAAAAATAGATATTATATATACATATAAATAAAATTGGAGTGTCTGTTTGTAATATTGAAATAACCGTTTTTACTACATGCATATGAATATAAATACGGTACTACACCAAAATAACATTTTTTACAATTTTTGCCCGTCTGTCTGTCTGTTTGTTTCGGCTAATCTGTGAAACGGCTGGACCGATTTTGACTGGACTTTTTTGGCAAGCCGCTGATGTAATAAGGAGTAACTTCGGCTACTTTTATTTTTGAGAAATAAAGTTAAATTCCGCGCGGACGCGGATATGTTGATATTTTATTTATTACAAAAAATACTCTATCTATATTTTGCTACTTCAGCGCCATCTAAAGAGCCAGTATTGAAATTATGCGAGCGAAGCTGCGGGTAAAAGCTAGTAGGCCATAAATTACGCGGGTGAAATCGCGGACAAAGCCAGTATTAAATAAATTAATTTAAAAGAATTTTTAAACATATATATAATTGCTAATCTGTCAATTCAGAAGTCCGTAGCAAAAGTGGAATAAGTACAAAAGTCAAGTTTTTTTTAACAACCTATCACCATTTCTTCAAATGTCATTCTAGCGGTGGTCCCGAAAAGCAACAAACTGCTGGATACTTTTGTTTGGGGTTCAATTTAAATTTAGAATGTAGGCTTCCCGCCGTTTCATTATTCGCGGTTGCCAGTGTGAAAAAACTTTTTTTTTTAATCATCACACTTGGTGAGGTTTCGATAATTGACATATTTAAGTTTTTTATGTTGGTATTACAATTTATTTTTAATTAAATTACATGTTTTTTTATGCGTAACTAACTAGTCCTTCTCACATCACTAGGCGACACATATAAATCTTTGTTTGAAAATTTCTACTTCATTAGATTTTTGTATACGTTTTATTCTTTTAAGTATAATATGCATTTCTTAATAATTGACGACCTCGGTGGTCTAGCGGTCTAGATCACCGCTTTACGTCCAATGGTCGCGGGTTCGATTCCTCGCACGGCACAAGCATTCGTATTCATAAGTATGATTGATTGTATCGATCTGGGTATTTTCTATGTATATTATGAACAAAAAAAATTATCTATGTATTTGTATCAGTTATCTAGTACCCATAACACAAGCTTTAGCTAGCTTAACTTGGGTCTAGATGGCGCTGTGTGAATTGTCCTGAGATTATTATTATTATTATTAATGGATATATGTAATTTTGTCTAGCGGTTAGTGGTCATCAATACAAACAAACAGTAAAATCTTTCCTCTTTATAACATACTAGCTACTCGGCCCTGCATCGCTCGAATATACATATATTACACACATAAACCTTCCTCTTGAATCACTCTATCTATTTCTAAAAACTGCATTAAAAACCGTTGCGTGCGTTTTAAAAGATCTAAGAAAAATATCAGCGGAAGCAACTTCATTTCATACTATGTAAAGATTTACTTTGAAACTCAAGAATGAAGTGATTACCAGTGATTTTATATTCGATACATTCATATGTGGGAATCATTGTATAAAGGAGGCATGATCATCATGATAATGACGACAGAGTGTTGATTGTGACACATTTTAGTGATGACTTAATCAGAACATCCTGTTTCTTTCATCTCACGGGAAAGTAATAAGAGATATGTAACAAGCGAAGCTACGGTTGATGCAAATGGTTCAAATGAAGCTGTGTACCATTATTAGTATCGTTTCTTGACGAGGTACCTCGTTATTTGTTTGTTTATTTTATGCAATTTATGAATTTAGTGACAGCAGTTCATGTTTAACGATGTTGTCATGTTTCGATGCTACTTGTTTTTAATTTGGGTTAAAGGAATTATATATATAAATATATACATCTATACATATAAATAAAATTGGAGTGTCTGTTTGTAATATTGAATATAATCTCTAAAACTAACATTTTTTACAATTTTTGTCTGGACCGATTTTGACGATACGAACTGATGTAATAAGGAGTAACTTAGGTTACCTTTATTTTAGAAAATTTCTTTTATTTTAGAAAAAAAAGATAAATTCCACGCGGACGAAGTCGCGTGTAATATAGGATCTGTCGTTTCAGCAAATTTCATTCAAATTGATATATAGTGTTTTGTAGGAAGCATAAAAACAATGCAATAAAGAAAAGTAAATCTTACACATAAAATTTTAGGCTAAAACGATTTTAATGAAATTTTATATGTATACTCGGTAAGTCTGAGAATAGGTTGTTATTATTTATTATTTATATTTATATCCCTAAGTATTAAAAAAAAAACTTCAACACAATTTAGATTTTTTATAAGCTGTGGCATTAAAAATACGTACACTCCTAAATTTTAACCCTTCTACCAGCAACCCTTATTTTTTATAGCGATATAGTTAATATAACTATAGTTCATCAATTTATATGGCAATACAACGTGTGGTCGGTCAGCTAGTATTTTTTTTTAAATAAATTTAAATATTTTTTATTCTATGACAGGACTGCTGAGTGAGCGTGCAAAATCAGTCGGGAGCCAAAGAAAGTGAAAAGGTGCGGTTTTTTTTCAAATCAATCAGTACTTTTTTGCGATGGTAACCCCGCAGTCGTGGACAGTGGGCACACCGCGGGATGTCGCTACCGTGTCCGTACGAGTGATGGATTTTCCGATTTTGCAATTTTTGACTTACATCACTTTGATATGGGTCACGGACTTCGTGAGTTCGATTAATTTCGGACTGCGCAATTTTTTTTATAATCAACAGAAATTTGTGGATTTTTTGCGGCTAAGTACATGTAATAAAAAAATACTAACTAAACTAACTTAAATATAGTTAAAATAATATTTCGGCAAGGACGATTAATTTCGGACTGCGCAATGTTTTTTTATAAACAACAGAAGGTTGTGCAAAAATGTATTAAAAAAAACTTACTAAACAAGAATATCTGAACTAACTTAATTATTATTATACTATAGTTATAAAATATACAGTTATTTCGACAAGAAACGTTCCAATAATTTTGGACTGCGCAATTTTTTTAATAATCAACAGAAATTTGTGGATTGTTATGTTTTTGCGAAGTAAGTGCATACTGTATTAAAAAGACACTAACAAAACTAAAAAAAAATCTAGAATATCTGAACTAACTTAATTATAGTTAAAAAATATACAGTTATTACGGCAAGAAACGTTCGAATAATTTCGGACTGTGCAATTTTTTATTTATAAGAGAAGTTTGTGAAATATTTATAATATTGTGAATAATGTTTTTATTAATTTATTTGTTTTTATTGTATGCTCTTTAGCTATATTTATTTCTCATGCTACAGTGAGATATTAAAGTACATTTTCAGTAAATACCTGTTCAAAAAAATGTTCATAAGGACGAAGGTCCTTAAGTTACGTAAGCAATCATGTAGTTAATAATAACGGGATTCAATTCTCAATTTAATATCAAACTCACTAAATCTAATATTAATTGATTCAACCATCCCAATGTTTACTCAAAATATCAGCGTTACAGCCAAATATTTGATGAAATAAAAAAACCTAAACGCCCATATGTTAACTTAATAAATTCGGATCAACCCTTCATTTACTGACGAGGTATCGTTTGGACCTCTATTATAATATTAATGCTATACAAACATGGGATTTTTGCCTCCAAATGACTTCATCGAGCTTTAGTTTAAAGTAATCAATGTAAAGGGTTAAACGCATAAAACCTGGTTTGCGTTAGTGTCTATGATTACTAGTCATCAATAATCAACTCTTTATTAGTATAGATTTATACTATATTAATCTATACTAATAAAGAGTTTGTTTGTTTGTTTGAACGCGCTGATCTCAGGAAGTACTGGTTCGAATTGAAAAATTCTTTTGTTATTGGATAGTCCATTTGTTGAGGAAGGCTTTAAGTTATATAACGTTACGATACGACCAATAGAAGCGGGGAAAATTATTCATATTTGAGGGCTTCTGTTGCATGAGCCGCACGAACGAAGTCGCGGGCACAGCTATTATTTTATATATATTAATTTTGGCATAGCATAATTATGTTATATATTACGATTACATATATTATGACATAAAAGAATCATTTCGTATGTAGGTACATAATTCTAAAAATGTAAATCTGACCAATGTTTAATTTAGAAGAGCAATTTGTAAAATTAATATTTAAAAAAAATTGCAACAAATTCTCTACTTAAAAAAAATCTCTGTACATATTTATATAATGACTGTCTATTAAAAAAACTAAGAGAAAATATACATACATATGTACTTGTGGAATACAGGCCACTTATTTAGTCTATGATCAGTTTTATAAGCGAATTACGAATTCGAATACCAAAATTCTATTCTAAATTGTCACTGATTTCTATTGTTCCTTTCGGTTTCCCTTCCTGTCCGGCCTGAGACAAACTATTCAAGTAGAATTTGTACCATCATAATTCGAAAAATAACAATTCAGTTTAAGGCCATAAACTGAACTGCCTGGAAACTGACTGGATTTTAAAAAGTTCATAATACGGCCTTTGGCCCTAGTTAGTAGTGTTTCTTTGTAATATAATAATAATATACAATATATATATATTTATATATCCTACAA